TAGAATAGGATATTTGAGATCCACCCATGTTCTGTGTGTATCAGTAGTTCATTTCTTTTTACTGCTTAGTAGTATTCCATTGTGTGGATGGACCACAGTTTATTTATCCATGACCTAGCTGAAGGACATTTGTTTCCAGTGTTTGATGACTCTGAATAAAGCCACCAAAACGTTCACCTGCAGGCTTTTGGGTGGACATATATTTTCATTTCTCTTGTATATTATACATACCTGAGTGTGGGATTCCTGGGTTGTGTGGTAAGTGCATGTTTAACTTTAGAAGAAACTGCCAAAATGTTTTCCAAAGTGACTACCATTTTGCATCAGTGTATGAGTTCTACTTGCTCTACTTGTTAGCATTTGATAAAGTTTGCATTATAATTATTTCTAAAATAGTAAACATTCTAATAGGCATGTAGAGGATTCTCATAGTGGTTTTAATTTGTATTTCTCTATTAACTAATGATATTGATTATCTTCTAGTGATTCTTTTTTTTTTTTATATATTTTATTGATTTTTCAGAGAGGAAGAGAGAGGTAGAGAGAGTTAGAAACATCGATGAGAGAGAATCACCGATCAGCTGCCTCCCGCACATCCCCCACTGGGAACGTGCCCGCAACCAAGGTACATGCCCCTGACTGGAATTGAACCTGAGACCTTTCAGTCCACAGGCGGACGCTCTATCCACTGAGCCAAGCTGGTCTCTGCTATCTTCTAGTGATTCTTATTTAGTTGCGAGAGATTATAAATATATTCTGCTTGCTATTCTTAAATGTATTTTGGAGATATTTTCTTTTAGTCTGTATAGCTTGTCTTTTCATCATCTTAACAGTGTCTCTTGAAGAGAAAATTTTTAATTTTGGTATATTCAGTTAATTTTTTTTTTTTTTTTTTTTTTTTTTTTTTAGAAAAGGAGGCAGCCTCAGTGGTTTTAAACAGGAGACACTTGGTATCTGTTCCTCAAAATACTCTTACATACTGTATTAACTCTCACTCTTCCTAGTTTATACTTAATATTGTGTCATCTATTTGGTTAAAAATTTAAGACCTTTTTCTTAATAAGTCAAGAAAAATCTAGGTCACTGGAATTTTTTAGGTAGAAATTAAAATGATACCTGAGCCTGTTTTTCTCCATCCCCCAATAGTTTACTCTTTAACCTTCAGTTTGGCAGGGGTTATGGTTATTTTTAGTGTACAGGCAGTAGAGCTAATCTAATTAAGCTTCCCCTAGCTACCTGGGGCAATGAGCTCATCAGCTCTTTCAAGCTCAGTTTGGCTTGTTCTGGACTAGATTTTACATGGAAATCAATCAAGGGAAAACTGGATTTGTTGGCATTATAGTGCATTAAAGAATGAAGAAGGGCCCTGGCCCATTGTAGAGTGTTGGCCTACACACCAAAGAGTCCCGGGTTCAGTTCACAGCCCAGGTCAGGACACGTGTAGGAGGCAACCAGTCAGTGTTTCTCTCCCTCTCTACTCTCTCCTCTTTCCTCCCCCTCCTTTGCTTTCTTCCTCCCTCCCTCCCCTTGCTAAATTCTGTGGCCCCTAAAATATGACCTTTAGAAGCTATCTGCCTGTATCAGTGGCCTACCAACTCATTAGTCAACAGAGCCAAATATCAACAGTACAATGATTGAAATTTCTTTTGAGAGCCACATTTTTTAAACAAAGGTAGGTACATTGTTATTAACTTAATTAGGATATTCCTAAATTGGCCTTTGCTGAAAACTCAAAGGGCCAAAGAGCCACATGTGGTTCGTGAGCTGCAGTTTGCCTATAGCAACTTAGTGATGAGAGTTAACATAAGCACTCACGGGGTTTTCTTTGTTTCTGAATTTAGCATTAAATTCTGTCAACTTTTTTCCTCAAAGAGTTTCTTCTTGTAAGAACTTTCAACCAATTTCCCCAAAAGATGAGGTCTGTAATCTCTGGGTATGGGTTGAACCTCATGGGCTCTCCTTTGTCCGCTTCTCAGAGCTAGATCGGCAATAGGCTTTGGTTCCTCCTGGTCATGGAGGCTGGGAAAGCCTGTAGAGCCATTATGACTAAAGTTCAGGCAGGCTGGGCTTCTGTAGAAGTGGATGAGATCCAGTTTTGAGGAAGGTTCTCTGGAGCTGCTTTAGTCTTCTCTGGGAGTGAGTAATAGTGGGGTGAGAGTATAGCTTGGTTGACAGCTTTGATCCTAGAGGTGAGAAAATATCACATCTGTTCTCAGTTGGCCATAAGGTATACTTAGATCTTAGTTTTTAATCTGAATAGAGTAGTGCAATTATTTTCCTCACTTTGTAGGACTTTTACAATTAATGTAAGTAATTAAACCCTAGGTGGGGAAGACTATATCGCCGATATATTAAAAGAATGTAAACAGGGACTGCCATGAAGGAAAAACAAGTGTTGTGTGAAGAATACTGTACAAAAATATATCATCGAAGCAGGAGGAGAAAAACAGCCTGCTCTGCAAACAGCCCGTCACTGTTTTTCCTTATGTGGCTTCACAACTCTGTTTTTTATTGGCTTTGTCTTTCATCCTCACTCTTCCAGATGTTCTTCCCTCAAATTCAGCTTCAGTCCTGCTCTTGCATTATTTTCTCTCCCCCTCTCTGGCCTACTATGAGCAAGCTTTGGACAGCTGTCTTTTGGCAGAGGATACCTTTTTGCAGTAACTTGGATTTCTGTGAGGATAATAGGGGATAAGGTTAAGGACGGGGCTGCCTCTGGGATCATTGTTATGGGAATGAAAAGGCTGTTGAAAGGCCAGTGTGCCTGGGTGCAGGACGGGAGTCATAATCATACTTTGTCTTTTTCCAGTGCCTTTTGTCCAAGGCCCTGAAAGGGCTTAACAAAACTCTGGGCTGAATAATACTTTTCTTTGCTCTTTGGAATTTGCCCCAGGTGGGAGTGAGACCCTGAAAAAAATAATGTGGTACAGTGGCATAAAAGAAAAAAAAACTAGGCACCCTGATTCCTAATTATAGTTTTGCTAATAAGACAAATCTGTTGAAAGTTGGTGAGATTATGAAATTACGAAATGGACTGAGATGATTTAATACAAGTGTTGTCCTTTTCTTCTCCAGCTTTGTATTTGGTGACTAGCATTAGTTGTAAGAGGAGAAAAAACCCTTTTATGTTCTTTCTTAGAGGTGTGGGGCAGAGGGACTCAGAGTTCTAATGCATCTCTGCTTCTTATAATAGTTAATACTGTACCTGCACCTGTAAGTGTGAAGATAAGCATCTAGTGAACATAATGCCCAAGCTCTTACCTACCTCATGAGCTTGATTTCTTTTATCTTTTTTTTTTTTTTAATAAAATAAAAAGGTTTTTATTGGTTTTAGAGAGAGAGGAAGGGAGAGGGAGAGAGATACAAACATCATCGGTCAGCTGCCTCCTGCCCCCTTCCTCCCTCTTGGGATTTGAGCCTGCAACATGGGCATGTTCCCTGAGTAGGAATCGAATCAGTGACCTCTGTTGCATGGGTTGACACTCAATCATTGACCCACACCAGCCATGTGCTTTTATCTCTTGCTTAGTGTCCAAAATTATATAAAGAGTCTGACCCACCTCTTCATGTTCGGAAGACAGTGTAGTATATAGAGTTTTTAAATACAAAAGTCTAACATTTAAAACAAGATTTTTGCATAGAGGGCAATGCTGAAGCTAGCTTTGTATTGAATTAAGGTTCTCTGCTTATAATATATTAGAGACCTGATGCATGAAATTTGTGCAAGAGTGGGCCTTCCTTTCCCTGGCTGCCGGCACTGGCTTTTCTCCAGGATCAGCTTCCTGCTGGCACTTAGCTTACCTCGCACAGTGAGGCCCTGCCCACCCTCCGCAGCCACCTGGCCACTGGTGGCCTAGGCCTCCCTCTGTGGGGTGATCATGTGGCAATGGCCAGCCCTGACCAATTGCGTCGTACCTGCCTTGGCTGGCCTGGCACCAGTGGGTGTCATAGCATGATCCCGGATGGTTGTCCCACTATTTGGCTGTTCAGTCAGTTGTTCAATTTGTATACTACACTTTTATTATTTAGGACTAGTGGCCTGGTGCACAAAATTTGTGCACATTAAAAGGGGATTCATTAGAGGAACTATTTTAATATTGCTCTTTGCCCTTTCTCCATAACAGAAGTGTCAGAGATGAAAGAAAATTAGTAAAATGTATATGAAAATCTTCCTCCTGTCAGAGTCGGGGGCGCACCATAGGACCCAGAGTCAAGTCCTCATCCACCCACATGTGCCTCAAAATTGCACAAGACCTAGACCCAGCCAGCCCTCCCCCCAACTGGGCTAGATCCAGACCCAGCCGGTCCCAACCTTGTCAAGCCCCGTGGGGGGGGTGTGTGTGCCTTGAGGTCCCCTATTAAGCCCGGCTGGGTGGCAGATGCAACCTGAGATCCCCTGTCAAGCCCCGCTGGGCGGAGACCATAGCCTGAGGTCCCTGTTAAGCATGGTGGGTGTGTGTGTGTGTGCGCGCGCGCGTGCGCACACACGCACACGACACAGCTTCAGTTCCCTGCTGATTGCTCATTAAGACTCGTTACAGGAACTTGGTCTCTGCTGTGGGTGCAGCCATCTTGTGTTACAGAAACCCTGCTTCCGCTGTGGGCATAGCCATCTTTGTGGCGGAGTGACAGTCTATTTGCATATTCCCTCTTTGTTATATAGGGTATTACTTTATATGTGCCTACAGTTTCAAGTTTATTTCAGTTCCCTCTTTCTCATCTGAAAAAACACTGCCAGTAACTCGTTAAGGTAAAGAGATTGCAGTTGGCTTCACAAAGATATGTCTCTTTAATGGAATTTAGGCATAGGGGGAAAATCTGGTGTGATTTCAGTATCTGAGAATCCCTATTGAGCACACCAAAAATCATTTTTATAAAAATGACAAAGGTGTCCATTGTTAAATCTCCTTGTTCCTTTTATCATCTTTCCAAGATTGTTTTCTAATTGTTATTTTCTCCCCCTTCCAAATCCAGGCTGGCTACAATAAACAACAATCAAGATGTCCAGAAAAGGGAGCAGCACAGATGGCAAAACAGACTTAGCTAATGGTAAGGAGCCAGAATGAAGGTGAAGCTATTTTTGTTTTATCACCTTAGATTCTCCTCCCCCAAAGAGAGTGGAGACATGAATTTTAGTGGAGGGAAGGAAATCTTTCCTTTGGAATTCTGAAAGGTTGTAAAGGTGGATAAGACCAGGAAATGCTCTTAATAAAGGAGAAAAGAACATCTAGTTGGTGGTGGGAACAAGAGAGTTGCTGGGAAGGTGAGGTTGTGCAGTCATAATGAGAAGTCTCTTACCATGGTAGATCATAGTTTAATAGAGATATTAGATAAGAGATGAAGATATGACATAAACCGACTGGAATTGGGGTTTTCTTCCTGCCTTCTTTCCATTCATCCATTCATGCTTCCTTTTTTTTTTTTTTTTTTTTTTTTTTGCCAGTGCAGCCAAGTAGCTCTAGTGCAGGTGTGAAGGCAAGATATGAAGATTCTGATAGAGTTAGCTACTGCCTGAGTTTATTCAACCAATGCTTTAACCTTGAGCCAACTTCTAAACTGGGGAAATGTCCGTCAAATGGACATAGTAGTTGGGTACCACAGTGTCCAGCATTTCTCAGCACCTTGCAGGTCAGGATTATAGGCTAAAATCTATTTGATGTGATTGGCAGAGTAATGAAATTGATGAGGGGGAAGTGAGTTTTTTTTTCTTACCACTGTGGTTCATATTTATTGGGCTTAGTTGCAAGACACAGCATTCTAGAGGGTTTGAGGTGTATAATTGATTTGGAGTTTTGCCATTAGCTAGATCAGGGATTGAAAACTACAGCCTGTAGGCCACGTCTAGCCTGCCACTGTTTTTATAAAGTTTATTGGAACACAGTCATGCCCCATCCATTTACATAGTATTTATGATTGCTTTTGTGCTACAGCAGTGGAGTAGTTGTGACAGAGATCGATTTGGCCTATGAAGCCTCCAATTTTTACTCTCTGGCCCTTGGCAGAAAAAAATTTGCTAGCCCATGACCTAGATCTTGGTCATTGACTGTTGAGGTCCTCTTTCTGAGCTTGTGGTATGCTCTCACCTTTATGTTATTGTGGTAGAGTAGCACCAAAATTGTCTTTATTTTTTTTTTTTTAATATATTTTATTGATTTTTTTACAGAGAGGAAGAGAGAGTGATAGAGTTAGAAACATTGATGAGAGAGAATCATCGATCAGCTGCCTCTTGCACACCCCCTACTGGGATGTGCCCGAAACAAAGGTACATGCCCTTAACTGGAATCGAACCTGGGACCTTTCAGTCCTCAGGACGACGCTCTATCCACTGAGGAAAACTGGTTTCGGCTTGTCTTAATTTTTAAATCATGATTTTAACAATAAATGCTAGGGGTTTGGCCTTTTATTTTTCCTTTTCCACAGAAGTGGTAGGTATAATATGTTATGCCAGTGGTTCTCAATCTTTTTAATGCCGCGTCCCTTTAATATAGTTCCTCATGTTATGGTGACCCCCAACCATAAAACTGCTAGCAGGGTCGCCTAAGACCATTGGAAAACACATATATTTACATTACGATTCATAACAGTAGCAAAGTTACAGTTATGAAATAGCAACGAAAATAATTTTATGGTTGGGGGTCACCACAACATGAGGAACTGTATTAAAGGGTCGCGGCATAAAAAGGTTGAGAACCACTGTTTTATGCCTTCTCACCACTCCAAATCTTAAACCAATTGCATTTGTGTATAGCAGTTCTGACCATTGTAGTTTGTAGGAGCAAATTGCTACACTGTTCCCCTTTATCGGCAAGTTCCTACTAGCCTAGTTGTTCTCACATTGTGTTCTTAGTTGAGGTACTTTTTGAAAAGAGCTGTTTTTGTCTCCCAACTTTCAGTTACTACTTGAACCAAAGCACTTATATTATCAGTTTTCTGTATTGGGTTTTGTCTAAGAGTTCATTGGAAAAGGAGTTCCATTGCTACAAAGATTTTCAGAAAGTACTGCTCTAATCTAGATGAGTAAACAGTAAAGTGCTCCAGTCCTTTGAATTTTTAAACATTAGAGTGGTATTACAGTTGAAAAGCTCATACCAGAATCACCTATAGTTGGTCTCCCTTTCCTAGCAGCCTTTACTTTTGGCAAGATAAAATTTCTATTTTAAAAAGAAGGCTGTTTTTTGATAGAATACAGTATCTAATTGTAGGGGATTATATTACGGTATTCAATACGACACATTTGTTTTATAACTACCAACAGGGAGGGTCTAGAATCTAGAAGATGGTGAACTTGTTTCTCAGGTATCAACTGTAGTACCTCCTCTTCTTACCAGTTTTATGTATGCTTCCTGATAGAACTTTGTCTCAGTTTGTATAACCAAAAATAGTATTAAAATTATTAAATTAATGGAAATAAGTCAGAATACCTATATTAGCAAAAAGTGACCAAGAACTCATTCAAATGATCACAATTCCCATTTTTGTACTTCTTTCTGGATTCTTAGACCTTTCAGTTTAGAATTTGGGAGGTGGGAAGTAGTGGGAAATAGTCCAACTCCTTACCTACTATCCTAGTGATTTTATTCATTTATTTCTCCATCTTTTTCTGAGAGATAGCTATGCCAACTCTTGCAGGGATGGCTGTTCTTTTTCTTATATTTAGTTTAATTATTTACTGTAACTAATGAATTCCCGTCCAGCAGAACTGAGCTTAAGGTATAAAGCATATTTTCCATACAGTTTGCCAATGCTTTGCCTCTTGAGAATTTATTATATTCTTAGATTCTCCATTTCTTCAGATCTGATGAAATAAGTACTTTTATTTGTGTGTGGCTTTGATCTTAGTCTTTTCAATTTCTTATCCAAGATTCCCTCTCAGAAAAAACTTTGACCAAAGTTGGTTTCTGGGTCTTTTGATGTGATAGTTTCTTAGACTAAGGCAGGAAAATGCTTCTAATCACTATCCTATTTCCTTCTTTGTTCCCCCCATGCCCCTAACTACCCATATTTCATTTACATGCAGGAAGCATGTCTAGCAGTCCAGAGGAGATGTCTGGTGCTGAAGAGGGGAGGGAGACATCCTCAGGCATTGAAGTAGAGGCCTCAGACCTGAGCTTGAGCTTGACCGGGGATGATGGTGGCCCCAATCGCACCAGCACAGAAAGTCGAGACACAGATACAGAGAGCTCAGGTGAAGACAAGGACTCTGACAGCATGGAGGACACTGGCCATTACTCCATCAATGATGAAAACCAAGTCCATGATCGCTCAGAGGAAGAGGACGAGGAAGAAGAGGAAGAAGAAGAGCATCCTCGGCGGCGTGTACAGCGCAAGCGGGCCAACCGTGACCAGGACTCATCAGATGATGAGCGGGCCTTGGAGGACTGGGTGTCCTCGGAGACATCAGCCCTTCCCCGCCCTCGCTGGCAAGCTCTTCCTGCCCTTCGGGAGCGGGAACTGGGTTCAAGTTCCCGCTTTGTATATGAGGCTTGTGGGGCAAGAGTCTTTGTGCAACGTTTCCGCCTGCAGCATGGGCTCGAGGGCCATACTGGTTGTGTCAATACCCTGCACTTTAACCAGCGTGGAACTTGGCTGGCCAGTGGCAGTGATGACCTGAAAGTGGTGGTTTGGGACTGGGTGCGGCGGCAGCCGGTACTGGACTTTGAGAGTGGCCACAAAAGCAATGTCTTCCAGGTGAGGCAGGGGAGCAGAATGGCAATTGAGGAAATCTGGCATGAGTTAGATAAATCTGAGCTGTTCCCTATAGTGAGAGCTAGTAGAAAGTTGCAGGATTTAGACATCAAACTTGATCCTTTCTTGGCTCTCATATTGCCTTAGAGGAGTTAAAGACCTATGGCAAGCTTTTCTTTCCTTGAGCACAAAGACTGTTGGAAGTCTCATTATAGATAGAGTGCTTAGAAATTATCAGGAAGGAACCGGATGTGCTCTGGTAGGAGGCATACTGTGTAAGAGCAGACTATTGAGCCAGACTGGTTGGGTTCAAATCCTAGCCCTGTCCTTCACTAGCTGTGTAATTTTTGGCAAGTTATTTAACCTCTGTCTTAAGTTTATTTATCTATCATGTAGGTCTAATAACATAGAGGATTATGAGGATTAAATAATGGAAGCTAAGCAGTTAGAACTGTGTCAAGTACTTAGTAAACATTTGATGATAGTTAATATTGTTGTTGTTATCTGAAGATTTTACTCATCAGCGAAATACATCATATTGGTACTGACCATTTATTCCTAAGCATGTTTACTCCTTTCTCAACATCCCTTTAATTTACCTTTTAACAAATTTTTCTTACTATTCTCCCCTGGTAGGTAGATTACTAGTTCACCTGAGTACTTACCCTGTACCAGTTCAGTCTTCCAGAATCAAATGAAATGCTCTTTTATGTCAGAATTTTTCCCCCTTACTCTAACTTATGGAAGAAATTAGACTTGAATCAATTTTGTTAAAGCTGGCGAGCTAAATTTCATCTGTTGTGAAACAAGGGGGCGAGTTGGGGTTCTCATTTTTTTTCTTATTCTCAAATTTATCTCCTGAATTTCTTTTGTGTGTCCCGTTTTTCATTCTTAACACCCCAGGCAAAGTTCCTTCCTAATAGTGGTGATTCTACCCTGGCCATGTGTGCCCGTGATGGGCAGGTGCGGGTAGCAGAGTTGTCTGCCACACAGTGCTGCAAGAATACGAAGCGTGTGGCCCAGCATAAGGGAGCGTCCCACAAGGTAAGTAAATCTGCCCCAAAGGATGTGCAATTCACTCCTCTGTGGATCTCACCAAGGTCTTCTTGAATCTGTATTTAATATAGTTACCTTCCTCCTCCCTTCTTTTAATCCTAAGATTTGTACATAAGAAGGGAGAGAAAGCAGCCACCATCCTAAACTTCTTGGAAGGCAAGTATTTGAGAGATCTGTAAATCTTGCGCATGCAATATTAATTGATTATACTAATCCCTAAGCCAAACAGGAGTGAGTTGGAGATCATTGAGGTCTCCTATGCCTTCCAAACCTTTAAACTCTACTCTGATCACTATTGCTGGGAGCTCTATTTAGACCTGGGAATATAGACCAAATAGTCATAGTGGCAGCCAGTGAGGAGCTGCCTCGTCTCAGAGTAGGTACCATGTTCTTCCATGTCATGGAGAGACGATGGTCTGCTCTTAAAAGCCTAAGCAAATATATAGATGGACCTGGAGTATCCATTTCTCAGGCAATGTGAAAATTATGTATTTCTTTGAATCTTAAGTGTACCTCCAAGTACACTCATTTTTAGAACTGAAAATAGGGAAATGAAACTTGGCACCCTTTCTCTCCCTACCTAAGGGAGGGAAATTGATTTTATTTGTGAATGAGCCCTAATCTCTGATGTTTTCCTTTGGTATCACTGTCTGTTCAAATCCTTAGGGGACTTAGTTAAAATAGCAAATCACCTGTCCTTTTGACTTGTATAAACAAGCTGTAAGTAATTTATACAGAACAAGAGAGGATGGACTTATTAAATTATCTCCTTTCCTGCTGAGACATTTTAAATGCAGCCCTTCTAAAGATAAAGGGATGAACTAAATAAATTCTAATTCCAATCTTTATAAACCTCATCCTTGCCCTTTTTTTTCTTACAGTTGGCCCTGGAACCAGACTCTCCTTGTACGTTTCTATCTGCAGGTGAAGATGCAGTTGTCTTCACTATTGACCTCAGACAAGACCGGCCAGCTTCGTAAGTATGCTAGTAGTATTTTTACAGAACTGGCTCTCTTGGCCTTGAAAATATTCCACATGGCGTAGGTAATGCTCAATTCTCTGGTCCCTCAGAATGGTCCCTTTGTTCCTATGAGAAGCAGATAAGGGTTTAGGAATTCCTTACTTTGTTGATATTTGTTCCTCAGAAGTGAAGTGCCATTCAGTCTTTTTGTTTCTAAATCAGAGTTCAATTATCTTATTATATGTGGGCTTTAATAACTGTCCATTATCTTGTGTACCGCTCAACTTACCCACAAGAAGCATTTAGTCTACAAAACAGCTTAGAGATGTGGTCCTGTGTAGTTCCAATTCAGTTACATATCAAAACATGTAAACAAATGATTAATTTTGAACAAAAATATTGGTATATATTGAACCCCATTATATCACAGCTCCTTTTTACATCGGTTTTAGACTCATGGGTAAATTATATTCTTTTTCAGCTGTGTGATATCATAGCATCTTGTTTGGATCCAGGCGTCTTTGTGTGTGTATGTGTGTGTGTTCTCACACACACGCACGCACACAGGAAATTCAAATAAAGGATATACAGACAAAATGCTCCCTCATGCACACCTCCCTGGCCTCCACTTTTCTGGCTGTTGGCAATCATTGTTAACAATTTTAAATACCTTTCCAAACCTTTTTGTTGTATACTTTTGTGTGTCTTAATATGTATACTTTTATGCAATCCTTTTTGTATACTTTCACCATAGATAGGATAGTTAATATAGAAACATGTCTACAGTTTGCTTTTTTCCTAATATGCTGTATTTTGGAAATCTTTCTCTGTCAGACCATAAAGGTCTACTTCATATTTTAACCACGACATATATATTACAACATGGCATACCACAGTTTATTTAACCATGACCTTGTTGTGAATTTTCTAGGTTAGTTATTACTTGTTAGTCTTAAAAATCATTATAACAGATCTTGTATGTCAGTAGCAAAATTAAGGAATGTATGACACTGATTTATGTAGTATACAAGTAAAATAGTATAAATTAATTTATGGAATATAAACTTAAGGCTGATTATTTTTAGACATAAGTATAGAAAAAGTTGTCTAGATTGTGGAAGAGTCTCAAAAATTACTTAAAAGATAGGAATGTTTTAGGCTTGCAGAAAAGATATACTGGTTATTTATATAAACCTTCAAGAGCATGAGTTTGGGAAGCTATTTGGCTTATACTGGAAAAGGATAGGACTGGGTGACAAGGAATCAGCCTGTGGGTCCCAGGTTCGATTCCAGTCAAGGACATGTACCTTGGTTCCAAGAACATCCCCAATAGGGGTGTGCAGGAGGCAGCTGATTGATATTTCTCTCTCATCGATGTTTCTAACTATCCATCCCTCTCCCTTCCTCTCTGAAAAAAATTAATTATATATATTTTTAAAAAATTTTAATATTTGGGTGTATGGACTATTCTGTGTTCCTTAGTATCTAACACTCTTTGTCCTTCTTCTTTATGGGGAAAGCCTATTACCTTTCTTCCCCTTTCTTATAAATAAAATTAATTTCAGAATATAGTTATAAAAATGTGCCAAAGCTGCTGAGGGGTGTGTGTGTGTGTGTGTGTGTGTGTTCCCTAATGATATTCCTTTTTAATGACCTCTGTACACTATTCTTTTAATGGAAGGCTGCAGAGATTTTTCAGAGCAAGTAAAATCTCTCCATTTGCCTAGAGCAGGTCTTGGCTGAGGGGATGCTAAAAATCATTTCTTTATAAAAAGCTTGTTGTCAGGCTTATATTTCAGTTTCCATAGCAACAGAAATGAGCAAAGGCTTAGATTAAAAACAAAAGCTAAAGCCCAGTTCTTTCCTTTCATGTCTTTCCTTTCCTATAAATTGACTAATCTTTATGATGTCATATTTGACCAGTTGGGTACTGAGATCTGGGAAGAGGATTCATAGTGCTACCCTTAAAGTAGGACAGATTACGGCTATTAGGCAGAATCTTCTGGGTAAAACTGAAATTTCATAGCATTTCCTCAGCCTGAAGCCCTGGTAAGGATCTCCTTTTTTTGGTGGTACAAGAAGATGAATAATTTAGACATTATTTTCCAGATTTAAAAACCGCTGTTTTGCCCTAGTTGGCTTGGCTCAGTGGATAGAGCGTCGGCCTGCAGACTGAGGGGTCCTGAGTTTGATTCTGGTCAAGGGTACATGCTCAGGTTGTGGGCTTGATTCCCAGTAGAGGGTGTGCAGGAGGCAGCCGATCAATGATTTTTTTCTCATCATTGATGTTTCTATCTCTCCCTCTCCCTTCTTCTCTGAAATCAATAAAAATATATCTTAAAAAACAAAAACAACATGCCACTATCTTCAGCATGATCACTTTGTAAGTTATATAAATGTCTAACCATGGGGTTGTACATCTGAAACTAACATAAAATTGTGTGCTAACTCTAAAAAAAAAAAATATAACAGCTCTTATCTTCATAAGAATTTTTTCCTCTTCTAATTTATTTCAGATAAGGGAAGAAGAATGCTTTTCAGATAAGGGAAGAAGAATTCTTTTGATTGCCCCTATGCTAGAAAACTGTGGCTTGTCATTCTGTGTGCATTCTATTTATTTATTTATTTTGTTAATCCTCGCAAGAGGATATTTTTCCTTTGAATTTTAGGGAGGGGGAGAGAGAGAGAGATAAACATTGACATGAGAGAGACATATCAATTGGTTGCCTCCCACATGCACCCTGACCAGGGCCTGGGATCATGCCTGCAACCGAGATATGTGCCCTTGACCAAATCAAACCCGGGGCCCTTCTTTCTGAGGGCCAATTCTTGATCCACTGAGCCAAACTGGTCAGGGCTGCTGTGTGCATTTTAAACACTGGATTTTTTTTAAGTGACACTTTCCTGGAATGTAGGAGATAGACTCTGATCTCAAGGTCTTTTCTGTCCACTGTTTTGTGATTCATCTTCCCCCTCATTCCCTGCTCCCAGGTGATAAGAAACGTGTATTTATGAATGAAGGATGGAAAGATGTGGATAGTATTGTCTGTTTAATGTTAGGTTATCATGTTGGATTCCAGCTAACCTGGGGACTACCTGAGGAACAATACTTTCATATGCCTTTAACTTACACTTCTTGAGGAACACCAGAAAAATGACTTCACTCCAGTTTGTTTGTTTTTCTACATCCCCAGAGTAGCATTTAATAAATAAATGGGAAGGGGTTTTTTGCCTTATGTTCAAAACAAACATTACTCTCCCTGCTGTCACTTGCCATGACCATCTGTATCTTTGGGAGAAAATAACTTTTATGCTTTTCTACTCTTAAAGGAAGCTGGTGGTGACAAAAGAGAAAGAGAAGAAAGTGGGGCTGTATACAATCTATGTAAATCCTGCCAATACTCACCACTTTGCAGTGGGTGGACGAGATCAGTTTGTAAGGTAAGTCTGGCTTTTCTGTGTCTTTCAAAAGGGTTTGAGACTCTGATGCGTTTGGTACTGTCAGTCCCTTTGGAAAGGTGTGAATTGCCTAGGAATCCACCATCTTGAGTTTTTTACTTTCTTCCAAAAGAGTTAAGCTCCTGGTGGGGTATTCTCCCTAATGTAACAGTCTCTGAGGGATGGCTTAACATAGGAATAATCAAGTTTTAAAGAACTTTGATGAATTGACCAAGGTCCCCACGTAGCAGTTAAGGCATAATCCCAAGTGTTGTATTAGTAACTCCCACCATTTTCATACATAAGTTAACATGCACTAGAAGCTTTGAATGCCGGTTTAGGATACGGAAATGATTTGACTTTGGAGTACTTGGTGTGAACTCAGCACTTTTGGCTCCCATTGTCTTGAACCACTTTTCTTTGTAGTGATATTTTTGTTACTATGAATATCTGTTGTAACCCTGGCTATTAATGTATATATCCTAAGGAAAGTGGACTTCATGGATTTAATTCCCAGGTACATCAATTAGTTTTCTTCTGGCCCTTAGCCATAAACTGTATTCCATCCCTGTCCAATTGGCTTATTTTAACTATGTATTTATTTTGTTGCTGAGGGATTTCAGTTTGAAGAGGAGGAGGAGAGGGGATCACTAGAGAATTGAATGACTTTTTGTTTTCCTTTCCTAATGGAGGGTAAAAAGCATTATCTTCCTTTAAATGAGAGCACATTTTTATAACTATATTCTGAAATTAATTTTATTTATAAGAAAGGGGAAGAAAGGTAATAGGCTTTCCCCATAAAGAAGAAGGACAAAGAGTGTTAGATACTAAGGAACACAGAATAGTCCATACACCCAAATATTAAAATTTTTTAAAAATATATATAATTAATTTTTTTCAGAGAGGAAGGGAGAGGGATGGATAGTTAGAAACATCGATGAGAGAGAAATATCAATCAGCTGCCTCCTGCACACCCCTATTGGGGATGTTCTTGGAACCAAGGTACATGTCCTTGACTGGAATCGAACCTGGGACCCACAGGCTGATGCTCTATCCACTGAACCAAACTGGTTAGGGCCGAATATTAAATACTTTTTATTGGTTTACTGACTTGCTGAAGTTTATGTGGCTTAGTGACATTTGAGATCTGTGATTTAAACTTAATGTAGAAAGAAAATAATTTGATTAGCTGGTAATATATATTTGCTGAAGAGTAGTAATCGGTAATACAATAGTCTCCTATTCCTCTTTTTTTAATTTTAAAAAAATATATTTTTATTGATATTTTACCGAGAGGAAGGGAAAGGGATAGAGAGTTAGAAGCATCTATGAGAGAGAAACACCCATCAATCAGCTGCCTCCTTCACGCCCCCTACTGGGGATCGAGCCTGTAACTAAGGTACATGCCCTCAACCAGAATCAAACCCAGGACCTTTCAGTCCACGGGCCGATGCTCTATCCACTGAGCCAAACCGGTTAGGGTTATTTTAATTTTTGTATTTATTGACTTGAAAGAGAGGAAGAGAGGGGGAGAGAGAGAGAGAGAAAGAGAAACAGATTTGTTGTTCCACTTGTTTATGCATTCATTGATTGAATCTTATATATACCCGACAAGGGATCAAACCTGCAACATTGGCATATTGGGATGACACCCTAAACAAATGAACTGCCCAACCAGGACCCTATTCCTCTTTTTTTGCTCTGGTACATTCATTTCCTGAATATTCTCTTTATGTAGGATATTAAACAAGGGATTGTCGAGAATATAAGCATATACTGACTCATTTATCTAGCACTTACTGAATATCTGCATGTGCTAGATACATCATTAGTCTCTGCCTTCAAAGAGGATTCTGGAGAAACCTATGTGAGATTACAAATACTAATAAACCCAGTATTACTCATCTAGTAAGTGGCAGAGTTAGTATTTGAACTCAGATCAGACTCCTTAAATGTAGTAAAAACCATTCCACGGAGGAAGTATTAAAGACAAATGGGAAATTAGTATTTCCGTGGACAGTATGTTTAGAGATAGCAAGATGTGATACAGTATGTTCATGGAGAGCATCGTTTTTACTTGTTGTTTTATATAATGTATGGGATCTTTGAGGAGAAGTAGGCAGCCATACTAAGGAGTTTAGACTTTTTTTTTTTTTTTAGTAGAAAATGCAAAACTACAAAGAGATTTAAGCAGGAAATGTATATAAAATTTTGTATTGTAGACATAATTCTAAACCGGAGACAGTATAAGCAAGGAAATTGGTTTAGGAGGATACTACATATCATGCAGGCAAAATTTGATTAAGGGTGGAGAAAATAGATGTAGTCAAGAAATACACCCAGTGAATCTTGCCAAAACCGGTTTGGCTCAGTGGTAGAGCGTCGGTCTGCGGACTGAAAGGTCCCAGGTTCGATTCCAGTCAAGGGCATGTACCTGGGTTGTGGGCACATCCCCAGTAGGGGGTGTGCAAGAGGCAGCTGGTCGATGTTTCTCATCGACGTTTCTATCTCTTGTATCTCTCCCTTCCTCCTCTCTGTGAAAAATCAATAAAATATATTTAAAAAAAAAAAAAAAGAAAGAAATACACCCAGTGAATCTAATTGACAGGAAGGAAATTAGTTCTATAGGAGAGAAAGTGCTTGATTTCTATCTTGATCACTTAAATTAGAGTAATGCCATTAACAGAGATTTAGGGGAAAGGATAAGTTTAGAATGAGTTTAATTTTAGGAGAAGGAAAATGAGTTTACTTTGGGCATCTCATAACTTCAGTTGGCACATACATATACATCTGGAGCTCAGAATAAGTTTGAGCTGGAGATTTAGGTTTATGAGACTTGTTCATAGAAGGTAGTTAAAGCATTGACAATGGAATTTGATCACTAATAGGAAGTATTGATCAGACTTCTCTCCCCCCACCTCCCTTTGAATCTCTGGCCTCTTTGAAAATATATGGAGAACTATGATCCCTTCTCTCTGGAAAATATACATAAATACAGTTTCTGGATGTTCACATACTACTTAGATGCTAGGTTAAAATTTCCTTATATAGAGTCAGGAGAACTTAAGACTAAACCTCTGTGGAAGGTCAGTATTTAAGGGATAGACAAAGAAGGACAGGCCCATGAGCAACATACAGGAGTGGTTGGACATCAAGGGAGGAAAGTGTTTTAGGTGAGGGATAATGAACATGTCAGGACAAGATAGGCTGAAAAGTATCTTGTTGGCATTGGCAATTTGGTTACTGATGACTTTAGCCAGAGAAGCTCAGTGATGAATTGAGAGCCAAAGCTAGGTGGGCATAGTGTAAGAAGTGAATAGAAAGTGAGGAAGTGAAAATATTGAATGTAGATTGCTCTTTTCATAATTTGACTCCAAGGAAAGGACAATCAGTAGAAGAGAATTTTTAGAAAATGGACAGACAGTAATGAGGAAGAGGTTAAGACTGGACTAATCACCAAAGTCATTGGAGGAATGAGATTAAGAGCAGCTGTGGAGGCTCTGAGATTGAAGAATGATGGGTGAGGACAGAGATTGGAGAGCTGTCTTTGTGTGTGTGTGTTTAAAGTATATTTTTATTTATTTGGGGGTGGGGGGAGACAGAAATGTCAGTGATGAGAGAGAATCATCAGCCCTCTTCCCCCCAATGGGGATCAAGCCCTCATGTGCCCTTGACTTGAATCAAACCTGGACCCTTCAGTCCACAGGCCAATGCTCTATCCATGGAGCCAAACTGGCTAGGGCTGTCTTGTTCTTTATGGTATTTTCAGCACCTAGCATAATATTTGGGACATGATATGTGTCATAAACATTTGAATAAATGATTAAAGTTTTTGATTGGAGAGATTAGGGAAGGTGAAGATAGTTTGGTGCTTGATGGGAATGAAGGAAGGAGAGAGTAAGTTTTTGATATTTTATTTATTTATTTTTAAAAATATATTTTTGTTTCAGAGAGGAATGGAGAGGGAGAGAGAGAGAGAAACATCAGTGATGAGAGAGAATCATTGATAGGCTGCCACCTGCACGCCCCCCTACTGGGATCGAGCCCACAACCCAGGCATGTGCCCTTGACCGGAATCGAACCCAGGACCTTTTAGTCCCCAGGCCGATGCTCTATCCACTAAGCCAAACCAGCTAGGGCAGTTTTTGACATTTTAATTGCTTCTTCCACCACAGGATTTATGACCAGAGGAAAATTGATGAGAATGAAAACAATGGAGTACTCAAGAAATTCTGCCCTCATCACCTGGTAAGAGTCATGAAGGGCCAGTGGCTCAAGGCTTCCCTGACTCGACCCCAAGGCTAATCCCAAACTTATTGATAATGTGGGAAGAGCTTGGATTTTTGAATCAGACACCTGGATTTCAATCCTGGCTCCACCACTTACCAGCTTGTGATCTTGGGCACTCACCTCACCTCTGTTGGTCAGTTTTCCTACTGGCAACATAGAAGTAAATGCCTTGTACCATGATAGTAAGGCTTAAGGAGTCAGTGGATATCTAAAGTGGCTAACACACGGAAGACAGCCAACAGAAAGCCCTCTCCCCCAGAGATGGTGATGTCTCATCGGTTGTATTCTTCTCTGTGTCTGTCTCTCAATCGCTGGGAGAACATTAGGGGAGTTTGAAGGAAAACCTTTTTTCCTGAAGATGGTATAACAAATGGGGGGTGGGGGTGGGGCATCAGTCAGAATCTGCTCCTTATTGCAGGTGAACAGTGAGTCCAAAGCAAACATCACCTGTCTTGTGTACAGCCACGACGGCACAGGTACGTGAGCAGGGCCCAGCTCCTAGGCTGGCATGCCCCCTCTGTCTAGGAAGCTGCTGAACAGCGAGGCATGTGCCCGGTAGTGCTCACCACTGTGCTAGAGCTACAGGTGGAGAGGCTGGGAGTGGTTGCTGATGGTGAGCACACAGGGGAGGATGCAGCAGAGGACCCTGGGAGATGCCAGGACCACTTGGGGAAGGTTGCAGATGAGAGGTGACAGGTCTGTCCTTAAGTCTAGACCTGAGCAAGTGCTTACGCCTTGACTTGTTCCTAAGTTGATGGGTGTGATCTTGAGCATTCTGCTACCCCTTTGTAGCAGCGTGTTCCTAGTCTGCTTGAGACACCTGGCTCGCCTGCTGTTTCAACTGAGTAAGATGGGTGTTTTTATCCGTGGGTCTTAGGGGGCACTACTGGCAAGAAGCCCCGTCCCTACCCCCAGCTCCCGATCCCAGCTTTTGTTATTCAGCCTTCGCCTTCACTGCTGTGTGCTTGTTCTTGGCAGAGCTCCTGGCCAGTTACAACGATGAAGACATTTATCTCTTCAACTCCTCTCACAGTGATGGGGCCCAGTATGTTAAGAGATATAAGGGCCACAGAAATAACGCTACAGGTGAGGCTGTCTTTCTGGGTTGTGGTAGTCAAGCCTGCTGGCTTGGAGAACCAGTGTCTCATTCGGGTTATGCCAATAGGAACTACCTAAAGGAGTGGACTGCCTGCCACTGAGAGCTGTGGGAGGGGATCCCTGTTGGGCTGGAGTTGTCGTGGGCCTACTTTGCTAGAGGAGAGAGGGTTTGGGGGCATCTCTCACCTCTGCCATTACTTGGTTTGAGCATAAGGAGACCGAGCTATTTTTCTTATGGTTTCTTCAGGATTGAATGGCTTGTTAAGGAAGTCTGGGAAAGCCATCCTCAGTCAGTGGCACTGAGTGCCTACAAGAGGATGACTCTGTACTTCTAGAGGGAGGAGGAGGGAATGATTCTTTTGAATGAGGCAGAGGAGGAGGAATAGTGTAGTACCTCACCTAGGTTGGCAATGAAGTTTGTCCTTTTTTGTTCTGTCTTATTCTTTGCTGCACAGTGGAGTCATGTGATATTCTTTTAAAAACACCGGTGCCTCGTTCCCATCCCCAGGCATCCTGATGTAAGTGGTAGGGATGTGACCTGATTGGGATGTTAAAAGCCCTTTACGTGATTCTAATGTGCAGAAAAATTGGGGAATCGCTGCTCTTTGTTATTGTTACCATGCCTAACATAGCTGTCATAGTTTTGATTGGAAAGAGCAGTCAGTTTTCCTTTATCTCTTGAGCTGGTGAGCAGAGAGGGGAAAACCTGTACTTGGATCAAAGAAGGAGTGCCAGTCCCATTTCTGATAAAAGATTGGGACTCCTGGCTTCTTTCACTAACCTGAGAGAGTGGAGCCCCACAGTTTAGATGCTGCTTTAGGCGATTGTGATGTGTACCTCCATCAGTCTCAGGTCAGCTAATGACTCAGGAAGCGTTGACGAGGTACCGTGAAGTACACGTCCCAAGAATAATCCCAGGGCATAGAACAGAGCTTTCTAGAAATAGGCAGAGCTGAGGTGATTCAGGTTGGGACAGTAAGGCATTAGTGAGTCCTGTGGTTGCTCGAAAGAGTGTGGAATGATGAGACTTAGGCTATTGCTAGGGACTACCAACTCCTCAGCCCTTGGGTCTCTGGAGAAATAGTCTTAGGGACTGTGGTATTATTGTTGTTGTTGTTATTATTATTTTTAATGTTTTATTGATTTTTTTTACAGAGAGGAAGAGAGAGATATAGGGTTAGAAACATCGATCAGCTGCCTCTTGCACATCCCCCTACTGAGGATGTGCCTGCAACCAGGGTACATGCCCTTGACCGGAATTGAATGCAGGACCCTTGAGTCCGCAGGCTGACGCTCTATCCATTGAGCCAAACCGGTTTCAGCTGGTATTATTCTTGTTATGACTATTATATACACATATTCCCCTGATTGTCCTATGAAAATGAAAGGCATTCTTTGGCTCTTAGCTGTTTTAGAGTTTGTGACTAACTAAATTCCCTCTGAGGTAAAGGCCTGATGCCAACCGTCATGTGTTTTATTCCCTCATTTATCATTTCAGTAAAAGGTGTCAATTTCTATGGCCCCAAGAGTGAGTTTGTGGTGAGCGGTAGTGACTGCGGGCATATCTTCCTCTGGGAGAAATCATCCTGCCAGATCGTTCAGTTCATGGAGGGGGACAAGGGAGGCGTGGTGAGTATGGTGTGCTGGGTGGCCTGGCTCCCTACTCTCTCCAGTCATTAAGGTAGGTTTGGCAGGGCCTCTGAATTCTCACTGACAACATGATATCATGTCTTAGAGGAGCGCTGAGTTTTCAATAGGCTATTTCCTTCCTTTTCCTATCTTTGCCCCTCTAAGACATGGCTTATTGAAAAGAGAAATGGATCTTAGGGAAGAACCTCTGGCCTGAGTGAAGTATCTCTAGCCATGGACCTTTGGCAAAAGGAAAGCATGAGAGTTGAGTGGATACCATCCTATATAATGCCAAAGACATCTCCATCTCTCATCCCTTACCAGGAGCTAAGTAGTGATCTTAGCTAGATTCTGGATCAATGATATAAGTTGGAAGGAGCATTTTTTTTTTTTTTCCAGATAATCAGGAAAATCAGAAAAAGGTCTGTATATTAGATAATATGGTATTCAGTGTTAAATTTTTTTGATGTTGTGATAGTATTCTATTTATGTAGGAGAATATCCTTGTACTTAGGATATACATATTAAGTATTTAAGTGTGAAGTGTCATGCTCATATTCAAATGGCTACAAACACACAATATATATGAGAGAGCAAATATGGCCAAAATTTTTTTTAAAGAAAGATTGGGCATCCTGCTTTACAAACCATGATCACATCAGTCTGCTTATCCTTTGAATTCTCCAGACAATCTCCATAGAGATATGGCACAAAGGAAGCATGAGGATCCTGAGTTGGGGAGTGAAGCTTGGTTAGCTCTTAAGATGTATCTGGCTAACCATATACACTGAGTGGCCAGATTATTGTGATCTCTGAGCGCATAATAACCTGGCCAATCAGTGTATTTGTATCTCAAATGAGTACCGAAAGTATTCTAGACTTTTGCTGGAGATCAACCACCTATTTGCCCTGAGCTTTCTATCAGCAAAGGGGAAAACTGATCAGTTGCATGATTTATTTGAAATCAAATAAGTGAGGTACTCAAGAGAAGTACACGGAGCCGAAACCGGTTTGGCTCAGTGGTAGGGAGTCGGTCTGTGGACTGAAAGGTCCCCGGTTCGATTCCGGTCAGGGGCACGTACGTTAGTTGCGGGCACATCCCTAGTAGGGGGTGTGCAAGAGGCAGCTGGTCGATGTATTTTTCTCTCTCATCGACGTTTCTAGCTCTCTATCTTCCTTCCTCTCTGTAAAAAAATCAATATATATTAAAAAAAAAAAAAAAGAGAGAGAGAGAGAGAGAGAGAGAGAGAGAGAGAGAGAAGTAGCCAGATGATTATGCGTTCAGAGATCGCACTGGCCACTCAGTGTATATTTTTTTCTTTTTTAAGACCCAAAGTCACAAGGAAGTTGATTAGCTTTCTCTTGTAAGGTTTTTTGGACTGCAGAAGATATGAGCGAGACTGTTTGGGAGACTACATTATACTGGCTACCCAAGAAAGTCTGGTTTAGAGCCTCTAAGGAATGGCTGAGTCAGCTTAGTCTCTCTTCCTTTTCATCCTTCTGAGCTGTGGAGAGCTGCCATCCCTTGATGAGATTTACCCAGAGAGTGGTGTTAGAATTTAGAACCGTTTCTTGCAATTGGAACCCCATTCCTTCTGTGTGTTTCTTGCCCTGGTGTGAGGCTATTTGAGATTTTTCTTCTGGTTTCCTCTTAAGTTTTTTTGACCTGGAACCAGTAGATATTCAAGACTTCTGTGGCCTGAATATAAATGAAGAGGAATCTAAAACTTGAAGGTGTGTCTGGTGCCTGATTCATTTTCTTTAAAAAAAAATTTTTTTTAATTGATTTCAGAGAGGAAGGGACAGGGAGAGAGATAAAACATCAATGATGAGAGAATCATCGATTGGCTGCTTCCTGCACACCCCCCACTGGGAATTGAGCTCAAAACCTGGGCATGTGCCCTTGATCGAAATCGAACCCAAACCCGAGTCCGCAGGTTGGCGCTCCATCCACTGAGCCAAGCCTGTTAGGCCACCTGCTTCATTTTCTACTCTTAAGTCCTCATCTATCATCTGCAGTGAACAGACCCAAAATAATGGAGTCTTAATGAGAATTCTATAACAGGCATATAGTCAGAAGGAAGTCACAAGGGGCCAGTGAGTCTGTTCTTGATTATAAATTGTCTTGAATTCCATTCCAGAGATGCAGAACTGCGCTTGTCTGTCCTCCAAAATCACTTTCCAGGCCAGTTTGCTTTCAGCTCAGCCACTATTAGGATTTGATGATTAATCTAGTGCCCCGATGGAAAGGGTACTTGCTTGAGTTTGGGTGGTCGGTCATGTGAGTGAGGGACTAGACCAAGAGGTATAGAGACTGCACCTACAATGCTTTTCCTGGCTTATTCTCACCTCTGTAAGCTGAATGATTCATGTGATCTCACTTAGCTCCCTCTATTTTATTTTTTTCTTAATCTCCCAGCAGAGGGGTTCCCAGGCACCAACCTCAATGCAGACTGATAGCAGGTCTGTATCATCAAGTATAATATTAGAATCAGAGGGATCTTAGAAATGATCATCCACAGTTGCCTAGATCCCTTGACCCTGTTTTTGCCTCAAACTGTAGTCTTTTCTTTGTTCCCATTCAGGGACAGGGGTTGGGGGTGATGTCAAAGGACAACTAAGGCTAGAGCTCCTTTCTCTCCTCCGGCATTATTGACCAGATAAGTCTTGGCATTCAGGCAAGGCCTGGTGAAGTGCTCAGGTATCCTGATCCAGAAACGATTGGCTCCTTCAGCAGGCTCCAGCTTAAGTACATAGTGTATTCTGTTGTTTCTTCTGCCATTGGCTTTGTCCTTAGCCTTAAGTTCCAAGGAATTTCTCCCCTGTGCTTTTCAAATTTTCTGACTTGTTCAAGCAGAGCTAGGTCAGAGGAGAGGGACTCACAAGGTAAGATCAGTGAGTTCAAGGTTTGTGTATGTAAGCAGTCATATAGCTTTTGGTAATGCTCCTGGGCATTGGAGTTTCTATCTTGTGGCTCCTCATGTTCAAGATGCTGGAACCTCTGCACACTCGCTGAAGGAGACCAAATATAAAGTGCAAAGGAGAGAAATGGGGTTTCTACTTTACACGTAGGCTCTTTTTTGAGCATTTTGTTTATTTGTAAATGGAAAACAAAAGAAGGTGAGAAGTCTGTGGGTCAGTTTTATTTTCCATGCTGGCCCCAGCTTACCCTCATCTGCTCTGCAAGGTCAGGAGAGGCAGAGGAGGTTGGTCCAGAGAGAACAGAGAGCCTTTGCCAGGAATTGTCGTCTTGGACTGTTGGGTGGCTGCATGGCTGGGTGGGTGAGAGGAGGCCTGGCTAGGACCACACTTCTTCATTCTTGGTGCCTTTCCTGTCTACTCTTCACCTGACTACAAGGCTGAAAATGTTTTAGCAGCTCCATCTGGACCAGCACTTCTAGTGGGCATGGGAGCGCCCTGCCCTTGTTAGGAAGGCTAAAGTTCCCAAGTCAGACAGCAGGGGGCAGGAGGGCCTGGGACAGGAGGAAGCTGCCTAAGCCAGGGACCTGCCTGCCTGCCCTAGTTCATTTCGCCTGCTCAGTGAGTACAGCTAGAGGGTGGTTGAGATTGAGGCTATGGCTGCCCTGAGAAGCTGCTCTGGTGCACTCTGCCACCTGAGAGCTATGCCTACTGTGTGTTTAGGGCAGGTGTCAGGATGCTGGCCCCTGAAATGTGCAGGGTTCCCAGGCAGACATGAATGTACCTCCATTACCCCACCTCCCCACCTCAGCCTCTCCCAGCCTATGCCTCCTCGTGTTCGAGTACATGGTGCCAAATGAGGGAGTTGTTCTTTGACTGTTCTCTGCTGCGTCATTTTTTAAAAATCTGTTTGCCACTTGGTGAAAGCCCCTGAGATGGTTTTTTCCAGTCTTGGGTAAGTTGGAGCTGTGGACTCTCTAGTGAATGAGATTATCTGGACCTCATTGCCTTTTTTGAAGCCAGTATTAAGCTTGGCCAGTCCCTTGCCCACTTCTAGGGCTGTTTCTGGGGATGAGGCCACCCCTGCCTATACGTAGGAAATGAGAAACAGGCCTGGTCCTTTACCCCATCTGTGTTCAGAGTTTCTTCCGCCTCCAGGGTTCTGGCTTAGCCTCAGAATGAGTGAGCCTGCCTTTCCAGTAGCCGCTCAACCCTGCTCAGGGAGAGTTATTTGCTTAATGTGAGTAGTGGTTTTTAAAACATATTTCCCCGTACCCCTGAGCCTGAGCTTTCCTCTCCTCCTGACTAGGTGAACTGTCTTGAGCCTCACCCTCATTTGCCTGTGCTGGCAACCAGCGGCCTGGACCATGATGTCAAGATCTGGGCACCCACAGCTGAAGCTTCTACTGAGCTTATAGGGCTAAAGGAAGTAAGTGTTTGACTACAAAAGTTCTTTCTACTTATCTACGCGGAGTTTTCATTGTCATAGGAAGGAATAATTTGCTGCCCAGTTATCCAAAGGCCCTACTCTGATCCCTCTCCCCTGCATGCCTGTCCTGCCGCTCTAGGAACAGTCCCAGGCTGGCATGAAGGTTTGAAGTGTCTCTGGCTCATGCCAGAGTGGTAGGGGACGTTTTTTAGGAAGAATCATTCTATTTAAAGTTTCCGCCTTCTCAGTGGATGGACCTGGACACCCTTTCGTAACCTAATCTAGCTCCACTTCTGGCTTGACAGTTCTAAGGGAAGTCTTTATTAGAGAGAACAGCAGCCTTTTCTGACCAGGTCCGGGATCCCATCCATTACATCCCCCATGTCCCTAACCCTGTTACTGCTCCAGGTGATTAAGAAGAACAAGCGGGAGCGGGATGAAGACAGCTTGCACCACACTGACCTGTTTGACAGCCACATGCTCTGGTTCCTCATGCATCACCTGAGACAGAGACGCCATCACAGGGTAAGCGGGAGTGGGAAGGGAGCTCCCGGGTCCCAGTGCTCACTTCCTCGCTGCTTTAAGGAGCCACCGGGTGGTTTTGGTTGGGCTTCCTATTCATTGTCCCGCATTCCCATCAGAGCCCTGAGGTAGCCTTGGCAGAGCCACTGGCAAAAATGAGTGGCATCTGCTTTTTCTCCATCGCCATTCATGCACAGTGATGGCTCCAAAAAGACAAGGTCATGAGGGTGGGAAAGGATTTGAGAAGAAGGAATAAGTCTCAGGGAGACCCTTCTGTTTTACTTCTCATGCCAGAAGAGGCCTAGGGAGGGGTAAACAATGGCATTTGGCTTGTTGCCTGCTTTTGTAAATAAAGTTTTGTTGGAACACAGCTATACCCATTCATTTATGTATTGTCTGTGGCTACAATAGCAGAGTTGCATAGTTTAAAACAGGTATATGGCCCAAGAGTCTAAAATATTTACTGTCTGGCCCTTTAAGAAAAATTCTGCTGACCCCTGGCCTAGAATATCTGAATTATGTAGCTAAGATCTAACAGGTTTGTGGTTAGGGAAGTTACTGACAAGCCTTTCCCATTCTACAGCGCTGGCGAGATCCTGGGGTCGGGGCCACAGATGCAGACTCTGATGAGTCTCCCAGTTCCTCAGACACATCGGACGAGGAGGAGGGCCCCGACCGGGTGCAGTGCATGCCGTCCTGAGGCCTCGTACCCAGGAGGGGCGGGCTGGGCTGCCAACCTGATCCTGCCTGGGAGCCCTTTCCTGTCCTTAAATTCAGCCGAAACGCACTTTGGACTTTTTGCTTTAGATAAAAGGAAGAATCCCAGGAGGACAAACCAGAGAGGAGTGAACCTACCGAGTCCTAGGAGTGAGGTTGGGCCTGGAAGGGGCTGCCCGGAAGGATGCATAGGACTCAGCAGAAATGGCCTCTCCCCAAAGCCTTCTGGGGGAGTGGGAAAGGGAGCCTGTTTTGTTACCTGGTTTGGGATAGGAGTGGGGTTTCCTTTTCTTTAATCTCCCTTGTTTGTTGGGTGGGGGTTTGGGGATATAACTGGCTGTTCAGTACCAAGGAGCCAGAGTGGGGGTGGTAGAAGTTCCACTCTCTCTTTGGTTTAGGTTTTTGACCTCCCCCCCCCCCTTTATTGTTAAAAAATCTATGACAGTTATATTATCCCCCACCCCTTCCTCCGCCCTCCCCACCCCAGGATCTGTTTTCCTGGGAAGTCCTTAGAGCCCCTTACCATCCCACACTCTTCACTTTCTTTCCACCCATTCATCCTCTGTACTTATCACAGTGTTTTGCACTTGATTATGTATCCTTTACTCTCTTCTCTTCATCCCATCACCCCCTAATATCTGGTGAGGGAGGTTGGTGGGAAGTGGGAAGAGGGGCAGAAGTGGAGGAAGAATAGGAAGGATGTTACCTCTTCTGTTACTTTAAAAAAAAGTTGTTTGGTGGCAGCAATCTCCCTGTCCCTATCACTGTTAGAAGCCTAATTTTATATCTATTATAAATATATTAAAAAGCAAGTCAAATCTGGATGTATCATGTTAAAATTATTGTTAAAGTTTAAATACCTACCTATTCTCGGATTGCAAAAAAGGGACTTACAGGAGAGAGTGATGGAGAGCAATGACGGTGGAGGGGACAGCCTACTTTCTCGGTACGGCCCTTAGAGATTGGGGCTAACCTTGGGTTGTGAGAGGCTCAAGAATGGAAGGCTTCTCATTCCCTGCTCTCATTGTTTCTGGGTTGGGGAAACGGGAAATGGCTTTCAGCTCTTTGCCTCAGCTCTCCTACCTGTTGTCAGGGTTCCCAGGATGGCTCTTCTAACCACAGACTGGCTCATCCTGAAAACTTCACTGACCTTTGATTTCAGAAAAGGTCCTGCCACTGCGGACTGTCTCTCCTGGGACTGTGTGACAGAAGACACTCTGAGCTTTAGCTACTGTGCCTTTTTTTTTTTTTTTTTTTTTTAAGCTGCTTGATCCTTTATATTATACCATCAATCCCCACAATAGCACTCTTCCTAATAATGGGAGAATATATATAGGATAAGACTGCCTGGGTTTTCTTTATACCTTATCCACATCTTATCTTGGGAGTGAGGGACAGGGCATTGATCTGAGGATTGATTAAGGTGGCTGGCCTGGGACACTTTGCTTCTCACTGGTCACTGAACATGAAAGTCCCAGTTGAATTCTTGCCCTTAAATGCTTTTGCTGCTATTTCTTTGCACCCTCAGCCAGGAACTCTGCATCCTGCGGCAGCCACAGGGAAGAGGAGAAGGATGGAATTCCCAGACACTCCCTCCTCCTGCCCCTTTCCTAGCAGCTCCTCCGCTGCACTTCCGGAGGCAGGGAGTCTGGTGGCTGATCTGTGCTCCTGCTGCTCACGGGTCAGGTGACGGAATGGGCACAAACCATGCACTCGGAACGGGTTGTGTATTTTCTCTCAGTAAAGCCCCCCACCCTGACTGCTGCTCTGTGAGGTGGTGGGCCATTCCCTTGTGATGGGCTATTTCTGCTCCTTCCAATGTAGGTGCCTGGCCCTGCCCTTATTGCACTTCTAGGAAATCTAATCTGGGATGTCATGTTTCCAGTGCTTGGGGTCCAACTGGAGACTGTTGTAAGTGGAATAGGCTCCATAGCTCAGTGATACCTAGGAGATGGGGGAGGGTAGAGGTACTGTTAGGGGTGTTTTCCTGGCCTCTGTTCCAGGCTGCAGCGAGGGATTTGGGGGTAAATACTGCTTTCCCTCCCTTTCCAGCCATTCAGAGTCTCCAGAATCCTGACCATTCATATGAGTTGTAGAATCAGTCAGATACAGTTACAGTCAATCACCTTTATTCCAGAGTTAGAACAAAGCCGTGCACACCACACAGGAGCACAGGAATGAGCAGTCTCACAGCAATGGGGGGAGGGGAGGGGCAGGTTAGTCTTAGATTATTTTGCCTTACAGAGAAATTACTCGACTGTTGGAAATGACCCTGTCTTCCTTCTCCCCTTCTCATCCTCTCTTCTCTTCAAAGAAGGCTCCTACTCATTCTCACTCATCCTCATTCTCAGTCTCTTGCTCTCATATAACATATCCTTACTGGAAAGACAACTCCTGCTCATTTCCCTTTCTCAATTCTACAGTCTCTCTCTCCTTCAGGGAGAAGCCAGACAGGGCTGGGGGAACTAGGGAAGGTCCTTAAGGCAGAACGGGAGTACTCGAGGTGTATGTGTTAAGGCAGGTGTCCGCAGCAGTGGCCGAGGGGGCAGGCGGGCTGGGCTGGGCGTGGAACGTGCTCTCCAACCAGTCTGGCTTCTTCCCTCTTCCGCAGCCACCCTCCCATTCAAGCTTGGCTCCCACATCCTAAAAGCTCCTAACTTAAACTTTCTCTAAATAGTCTCTTGAGATTACATGTGAATTTAAAGTTAAAAAATAAGTTTTGTTTTGACTATACAGCAACTTGACTCTGCCACTCCCTTCATTGTGGCATTCCCTCCCACCCCCGCTCTGGCCTAGACAATAAGTTAATGCTAGACACCACAAGAAAGGGCAGACATGGCAGTGTGGGTTTAATATACATATATGTAGAATATATATGTACACACAGTTAGCACGGTCAGGTGGGCAGGGGCATCTCGGGCAGGCAGGAGGCTGGGGTCACTGCACTGGTAGTGATTCAGGTAGGAGGCGCTCACAAGCCCAAGGCGCCAGGATGAGGGAGAGGGGTTACCAAGTCCCTTCCTTCCTGGGTTGAATTGGGGGTCAGTGCAAAGGAAAACACTGTAGTTAGCTCCTTCCCTTATTTTGGGCTTGGGGTGTGGCTAGGCCAGAGAGGGAGGGAAAGTTTCCTACATAATCACCTGGGACTCTGTAGGTGGGGGCAGAATTGGGGTTAAAATGTAAGAATCTCATTCCCCAACCTCCCGAGGCTTGGGGTCAGTATGTGCAACAGTCTGAGGAGGAATAAAGGAGGAGGAAGGAGCCCCTCAGCCCCGTCTCAAGCTCAGGGGGGCATTCTCCCCGCACAGTCTCTACAGAGCAGATGGGTGGGTGCTCTGCTGGGTTAGAACTTTGGGGCTAGGAAAGGGTCCAAGGTCCTGTCATTAGATCCTGGCTCATACCCGTCCGACGGGAGCACAAAGGGACCTGCTGTTTCCTGGCCCTCCAACCTGAGGAAGAGCTGGAAACAACTCCACAGCCGTCCCGTGTGGGGTCCAACACCACACTCCGAGCTCTGGCTTTCCTTTGCCCTCCCAGGTGGGGCTGGGTGGCCTCTTTCCTGCCACCTGCCTCTCCTGTGTCCCTTTGGCTCCTCCACGTAGGAACATGCAGGTCCCTTTTGCTCTCACGTGAGAGTTGGTGGGAAAGGGGAGAAAGGGAAATAGGAATGTGCCCATTTCTATACGGATAGTTTCCCTAGATGGGAAAACTCACCCCCAACCCCAGCCTCTGACCCCCAGCCCCTCACAAGGAAGAGGAGCTAGATGAGCTAGACATGTAGACAGACAGCCAGAGCGTGTGCACGCACACACACACGCACACAGTAGGGGGGTTAGGACCAGGTTAGTAAGTGGGTAGGTTTGAGGGGGTGGGAGGTGCCTTTGCCCCCTCCCCTGGAGGCTGGGGAAGGGAGTGGTCCTGTGAAGGTCCAACCTTCCTCCTCTTCCTCCCCCTTGCTCAGGCTTTCTTCGGTGGAGGAGCCAGTTTGATGATCTCTTCCTCAGAGGGCTGCCGGATGATGTCTGGGGACAGAAAGGGACATGGGCAGGGAGGGCACATGGGAAGCACCAGGCAGGGCACTGAGCAGCCCCAGAGGGCAAGCAACTCCAAGGACCAGCCCTGGGAGAAGGGCAGTACCCAGCAAAGGCCTGGCCGCTTACCTTTGTACTTCTTGGCGCTGGGGATACGGGTCAGCTTGGTGTCCAGCTCATCCTCCTCGGAGATCTTCAGAACACGGGTTCTGTAGTCCACCACCATGGTGAGCAGGTCAGGGCGGCGAGAGATCTCAAAGATGTGCTCAATGTAGGAGAGGTTGTCTGGAGCAAGGCAGGAAACGGAGGGTGGGTTAGAGCTAAGCTGTGTGTGTGTGTGTGTGTGTGTGTGTGTGCGCGTTTTGACACCCTTCCCCCCTCCCCCCCATTCTACCAGATCAGGCCTCTGGAACCAAGACCGAGTTGCTCACAGTGGGTATCAGGGGGCAACAGAAGCGGAGGAGCCTCTAAGCCGAGAAAAGAAAGCTAAGGCACCAAAGAGCAGTACAGATGACTGTTCCCAAGGGGAGCAGAGCATCCATCAGTGACGGCTCTAGATTACGGATTTAGAATGAGGGATTTAGGTTAAATATATCTGGGCGAGTGTGTGTGTGTGTAAAATAGAAAAATTAACTGGCTTCCAAATACTCCTCACCCTGAGCTGCTGCAGAGAACATTTTCTGAGAGCATGGGTGGGACTGGAGGGTGGGACCCAGACAGCCCAGGGCTACTGCCGATGAGAAGGCACAGCCATGACCAGAGGAGTTCTCTGGCCAATTCTAAGACCGTTTCCCTGGCCCTGCTGTCCGCTGCGGTGGAAGAACCTCCTCAGCCTCCCTCCGCCAGACTCCGGTCACTCACCTCACCGAGCCAACACCCTGTCCCGAAAGGCCCTTCACAGCACAGCCTTAACTCACCCTCCAGCCACCTCTGCACATGCTCGGCGCCCCAGCAAGCAAAGCAGGGCTTCTTGCTTTTCCATACACACCAGGAACTCTCCCACCTGTAGCCTATGGGCCTGGCCTAGCATCCCTCCTCTGGATTCTGCCTTTGAAATCCCACCTGCCTTTCAGGGTTATTTTTACACACCCAATTCCTCCCCAAACCCTCCACAGTTGTGGTCTCTAAAGGTGGACAAAATCGCCAGAGCTGGTTTGGCGCATTGGTCTGTGGACTGAAGGGTCAAGGGCACATGCCTGATAGGGGGAGTGCAGGAGGCAGCCCAAATGATTCTCATTAATGTTTCTCTCTGAGATCAATAAAAATATATTTTTTAAAAAGTGGATAAAATCTTAGAAGTTGTGGTTTTTTATCACTTTCAACTTGGGTTACTATTATATAGAATAGCACTCTGGATGTTTTTACCGATGAGGACATATTGAAGAACGTGGAGGCCCCGGCCCCAAAGCCCCTCCACTCTCAGCATTTTAAATCTGCCCTGCCTTGCCAGAGGGGAGCACACGGCAGTGTATGGGAGCTCGGAGCTCACTGCTATTTGCTGAATGAACTGAGCCCAGAGAAAAGCTGCAGGCAGGGTCCTGGGTCCCCTCCCCCACCTTTGTCCAGCTTGTTGTGGCTCTCCAGGAAGCTAAACCAGGCGCTGCCCGAGGTGATCTCCTCACTCTTCTCACTGGGGATGTCCTCCTTGCAGGCTGACTTGAGCTGCTCCAGGTCCTCCAGGGTGATGTTGTTGGTCAGGTCCTGGAGGAGGGTCCCGTACTCGGCCATGTCTGGGGTTGGGGGAACAAAGGGAGAGGAGGCTGAGCCTGCCTGTGGAATCTGGTTTACTCACTGGCACTTCCCACTCCCTGCTCCACCCCCCCCAGGCAAGTGCCTAGAACACAGGCAGGGGTGGGCCTGGCTGGCAGGAGGAGAGGGAGGGGGAGCAGACAGGAAGATATTTGGAATCTAGGGACCAGGCTGGAGCCTGGAGAGAAGTTACACTGCCTCCCCCCACCATCTTTTCTCTTCGTTTTACCCTTCTAACAGTAACCCTGGCAACAGCTCCCAGACTGAGGAGGCGGTTACCATGGCAACCTGTTCTGGAGCTTCTCACCAGCTGCCTCCAAGTCCCCCCAGAATCACCTCACCCACCTGCAACCCATAAAAAAAACACACCAAAACACAGCAAAACAACTCCAAAACAAGGACCACTGTGATGAGCTTGCTGTTTTCCCCCAGAAGCAAAGGGGTCTCTCAACGCCCCACGGATGACTCATTTTGGAGGGATGCCTAGTTGCTTGGTCTAATGGTCCCCTGGCTCCTCTGCTCAGCCTTGTATTCAGTCATTAGGGTTCAAGGTGTGGGGGCGGGGAGGGGGAAGCAAAGGGCCACCTCCACCTTTTGTGGAGCCGGCTTTCTCCCTCGATTGCTGCTGGTCCTCCATGTAGCCATCGGCCCATCTTTGTGCTGTGCCTCCAGTCCCAGCGCCCAAGAATACCAAGCGGCTGGCTCTGGCCCCCTGCCAGTTCCCAGGCTGGCTGGGTGGCGGGGAAGGGGTTAGATGTGTCGCTGGAAGAGTCTGGCAGGGAGGGGGCTGCCACTCCTGTTTGCATCAACATCCCACTGGCACTACTTTCAGCAAGGACTCGAACAAGAGTCCTGGGCAAGGCCCAATCTCACCTAGGCCTTCACCTGCCTCTCCTGGAGACCCCTGGCTGGGAGGCAGAGAACATTCCAGGCCCTCCTTCCATTCACTAAGACAGGGACTGTGGCTGAGCATGAACTTTCTGGATTTGATAAAATATGGATCTCCAACCCTAACCGGTTTGGCTCAATGGATAGAGTGTTGGCCTGTGGACTGGAAGGTCCCATGTACCTTGGTTGTGGGCATGTCCCCAGTGGCAGGTGTGCAGGAGGCAGCTGATCGATGTTTCTCTCTCATCAATGTTTCTGACTCTGTCCCTCTCCCTTCCTCTCTGTAAAAAATCAAAATATTTTTAAAAATATGGATCTCTAGTGAGTTTTATACACAATGAGTATATATTTTATCAGGAAAAGTAAAGCATTTTTAAAATTATGTCAAACACTCTGCGGCTCAATCAGAGTGGAACAAGGAGTGAACTGACCTGTAGTTGGCAGACTACCCACAAATCACACCAACAATGGGCTTGGAAATATGGCAGACAAAAGGGGGCTGGTTGACACCCCCTATTTTCCTTGGTTCTGGCCTACCTGCAGGGAAACTGAGGCAGAGAGGCATGGCATAGTAAGAGGCATGGAACCAGAAGTCCCCACTCCCAGCCCCCTACTTGCACCAGAACAAGCCTCCGTTGGTGGCAGGCAGCGTGACACACATACACAATGAGCCAGGCGGCAGGGCCGGCACAGCCCCCACACGGAGCCAGCATGCTCACTCACACACACACTCGCTGGTCCAGCCAGACAGAAGGACCCAGCAGTGGCCCTGCCAGGCCGGGCCAGGAACAATGCTCTCTGACTGTCAGCACCAGGAACCGTCTCTGCCTGGAAATCTAGGTCACACGCAGACCGGAGCCCAGCTGCCCCTCCGCTGATAATCCGAGGGCAGAAAGGGGGGTGGGGATTAGGGCAAAAGGGATGGTGGGGAGGGAGTCCAGGGATGAGAACACTGATGGAGGCAGGGGTGTGAGGACTGAAAAGGAAGGGGCCTGGGAAGGAGGCAGGATGCCCCAAGAAGACCCTGACCCAGCGGCAAAGGGACAGGATTTAGGGTCACCTCCTTTGCTTTCACATGGAAGCTGAGTTTGTAGATAGAGCTGGTGGGAAAGAGTGTGAGTGTGTGTGTGTGTGTGTGTGTGTGTGTGTGTGTATGAGAGAGAGAGAGAGAGAGTGTGAGTGGGAGAGAGAGTGTGTGTGTGTGTATATGAGAGAGAGAGAGAGAGAGAGAGAGAGAGAGAGAGAGAGGGAGAGAGAGGGAGAGGGAGAGAGTGTGTGTGTGTGCATGTGTGTGTAGCTCCTGGGAGGAGGTAAGATTTGGGGTTTTGAATCTAAAACAGATTTATAGGGAGGTGGGAGGGGAGGGACTAACGTGTGTGAGATACCCACACTGGTGGGTAGGAGCTTTCTAAGAGTGAAACAGATACAAAGAGAGGTGGGGTGGGCATGCGGAGCGGAGGGGGAGTGTGTGTGCGCAGGTTCCACGCGACTGCCCAGCCCTGGGTACGGGCCCGGGTCTGGGCGCAGGCAGTGGGTGTGTGTATGTGCGCGTGGTCTGTGTTTGTACGTGTCTGAAGCAGCTGGGAGCACATGCAAGAAGGAAGGTAACCACAGGCTCACATCCAGAGAAAAGAGGAAGGGGTGCGGGGCCGAAGAATGGAGGAAGAGCTGGGGCTGGGAGAGAGCAGGCTGCAAGCGAGGAATCCTGGGGGAGGGGGGCCGGGAGCGCAGTCCGGGAGAAAGTTGCTGCCTTAGCTCAGCAGTTCCCATGGCAACCTCTGTTCTGGGTGCCCCCCTCCCCCCTCAGTAGTCAGGACAATGATACCACTGGATGGGAGGGTGTGGGGAGTTGTAAGAACAGGCTGACAAAGCGGGTGTGAGGCTCCTTGAGGGGCAGGGAGAGATCCCAGTGGAGGCAACAGCAGGATGGTTTGGGGGTGCACGTGGAGTCCCCTTACATGGCTGTCAAGTCTCATTGGAAGCTGTCCCTCGGGTGGTCTGGCCACGCTGGGGCTTTGCAGAAGGTTGGCTCCTTCACTCTCCATGTCACCTTCCTCACCAAGTCCCAGAAGCCCTGTGGGGCCTGAGGGGCCTCCTGCCCTCCGGGCTCTGAGGCGGCCTCCAGGCTGGAGCAGTGCAGGGGCCGCCTGGGCGAGGCCATTCTTGGGACAGGATACCAGGGCAGGAACCGGGAACCGGGGCCAGGCTGCCAGGAAGTCAGCCCCTCCCCTCCCCAGTCATTCTGTGCGCTGCTCACACCTTCCTTCCTCCTTCCTTCCTTCCTTCCTTCCTCCCTCTCCTTCCGAGCTGGCCCCAGGTGGAGCCCTGACAAGGTCCGCCCAGCACTGAAGCAGAGGGGAAGGGGCACGGATAGCATGACTGCCCTTTCAGGGGCCAAGCCGGAAGCATGACAGGAAGGTGCCCGTGGACAGTGGGGAGGAAGGAGCAGGCCCGGGGCACCTTGAGGAGCCTAGCCAAACGGGATCCTGGGGTAGCCACCTGTGGAGGTGGCGGCAGCACCAGGAGAACTGCTGTGTGTTCTGCCTTAATTCATGATTTTCCCGAGCGGGAGCATTTGCTTCCAAATCCTTAATAAACGGAAGCAGCCCGAGGATTGCGAGTGGGAGCTGCGGCCCTCCCCTCCCACCTGGGGCGGCTGAGGCTGACGGGAGAGGCTGTCCCCCAGGCTGCAGTGGGATCCTGCTGAGGGCCAGGGTCCCGCAGTGGGCAGAAGGGGGGGAGGGGTTGTAGGCATCCGTCTGTCAGTCTTGGGGTGGGTCGGGGGAGAGGAAGGTCCGTCATCCAGCAGAAGGGGAGAGATGGAGAGGGCAGGGTTCCTATTTTAAATTTTATCTGGCCCCCAAATTCTAGCATTTCTGTAGTTCATCCCTCTAATTATTTCATTAATATCATACTCTTTCTTCCTCAACTGACTTCTTACCTTACTTTTCTATTCAGCTTGTGTGTGTGTGCATATGTGTGTGTGTGTGCATGTGTGTGTGTGTGGGGGGTGGTGGTGGTGGAGGGTGGGCATCTTGATTTCCTGTAACGGAAAACAGGGTGCGAAGACTCCAGAGCCAGCCTGGGAGTGCCAGGAGCAGGACACCTGGTTGCTCGGTGTCCAGTTCAAACAGCAAAATGGGTCGCCCCCGGGGCCCTGGGTCTAAGAGGAGAAAGACCAGCCGGAGAGGAGGAGCTACTTGGCATTGGACCAGGCAGGGCATGGGGCCACTGACAGTGAGGAGGGGTGAGGCCTGGGACATACTCCCCCATCTGGCTGTGCCTTCCCTGTCCATCCCCTCTCCTTGACCCCTGTCTCCCCCCGTTCCTTCCAGTGGGCTTCCATCCTATCCCACCGGGTGGTGGCCGTGCACGGATAGGACTCCGGGGCTCTGAGGCTCAGCGTCCCCATCTGCACGCCCAGCTACTCCTCTGCTGGGAAGGAGTAGCCTCCCTGCTGTGGAGACAGTCAGGCTGGGGGGAGGGGCCTGGGCGGGTTGGCTGCGTACGATGTCCCCCATGGCGCTGTGTGGCAGAGAGAGAGGGTGGCAGGGCTGTGGCTCTCTTCCTCATGCCTGACCTGACATACACATACACGCACACGTGATGGCACAGGTGTCGGGGAGTGAGGAAGCAGGCAACCAGGGCCGTCAGCAGCCTAGGGCATATCTGGCAATTTCCCCAACACGATGTTTAACCACAAAGGGAAGCGCAATTAAAGCTAATTGCCCCGACGGGGGGGGGGGGGGCAGCTCCTGGGGCAACAAAACACAGATTCGGCTTTTCTCCCCTACTCCCCGTGGTCTCACTGCTCCCCCATCGCCCCGCCGTCCTGCTTTCCTCCTCCCCTTCCCGAGCCCCTCTCACGGCCACCCCATGCTCTCCCCTCGATAAGGACCGGCTCTGCGGCTCACTTCCTCCCTCCCATCCCAGGGCTGAATCTCTGTCCCTCTCACACACATTCCCTTCATTCTCTCTCTCTGACTTGGGCTCCATCCGTGGCTGACTCACTCATTCTTTCATTTTCTCCCTCTCCCTGGCTTCCACCCCTCCTCCACCCCTTGGCCATTCTGGTGCCCCCCAAACCAGCCATCCCCAGAACCCCGGGCTCCAAGGATAACCAGCAGGAGTGGCCTCGGTACCCCTACTCCCCTCATCACCAGCCTCAGAGCACCAGGCCGCAGCCCTTCAGCTTCTGGCCCCTGTCCGTCCGGGAGTCAGAATGCCCCCATCTTCCCCCAGTTCTAACGAGGGGCCATCTGAAGCCCGGGGGGCAGATGCCCAGAGGAGGCGGCCGGACGGGGGGCAGGCCCCCACCCCGCTGGGTGTCCCCCAGGGCCCTGAGGGGGGGTGAGGGGTGATGGGTGTGGAGCGGGGACGTGTGTGACCCGCCGCGGGGCGTGTGGGAGTCACATGGGCGTGTGTCACCGTGTGTGCGGCGTGTCTGCGGGAGGTGTGTGGGTCCCCGTCAGCTTGACACGGATGGTGTGAAATTAATTAGGGGTGTGCGTTATAGCTCCTTCACTCCTGCACCCCAGATCCTCCCCTCCCTCCGGGCGAGCGGCCGCCGGCCCCACGCCCTCCCCAGGTGCAGGGCGGCGGGGCGCGCGGAGCCCCGGGGGCAGCGGCCGGGCCCGGAGGGGCCGCCCGGGGCAGGTCTGCACGGAGGACGGGGGGGGGGCGCCGCGGGGCGGGGCGGGGCGCAGCCCGGTCGCCCTCCCGGCCGGGGACCGGGCACCGGGGGGCCAGGCTCCGGGCGCAGCCGCTGCCCGGCACATGCTCGGCGCCCCGCCGCCGGGACGGACCGGGGGCCTGCCCCGCGGACCAGGGCCCACGCTCCCGCCCGCCGGGCCTCGGACCCGCGTCCCCCCGAGCCCAGACACCCCCCCCGCCCCTCCCGCCGCCCTCCCGGGGCTCTCACCGCCTGGGCTGAGCGCGGGCGCGGGCGCGGCACTCCCTCCGGCGGCGTCCGCTTCCCGAGCCGCGTCCGGAGCCTCCGCCTCGGCTCCCGCCGCTTCCGCTCCGCCCGGAGCCCAGCCAGCCGGCCCGCCCGCCCGCCGCCTGACGTCAGAGCCGGGGAGGAGCGGGCGGGGGGCTGGGGATGGGAGGCTCCGGGGAGGGGGCCGCCTCCTCCCCAAACCCAACCAGGCCCCAGGCTCCGTCCTTTCCCCGGGGAGGGGACCCCTTCTCCCTGATGCAGGGCTGGGCCCTGGGGCGCAGAGTGGGTTTTGGGGGCGGGGGTTCGAAGGCCTTGGGATTTGGGATTTGGAAAGACCTCCACCCCCACCTATGGGTCCCGGGGAATGACCGCTCCTGGAGGCTGAGGATGGAGGCAGGTGTGGGGACCAGAAGCCATCCCGGGGGCCCCCTTCCCCGGCCCTGGGGCCACAGAGCTCCCTCTAGGATGAAGCCAGCCAGCCCCCCCGTCCCCCTTGTGTGTGTGGGTGTGTGTGTGTGTGTGTGTGTGTGTGTGGTTTTACTTTTCCCAAATATACCACCCCAGGCCTCCCCCCACCATGATGTCATCTTATTTGCGAAGGAGAGAAGGAGCTGCACTGAGCTCAGCATGCAAATATAGACAACCTGCAAAGCCGCACGCAGCTCTGGCTCCCGGGCTGCCCTCTGCCCGGCCTCCAAGGCGGCTCTCACTTCCCTTCCACCCCGGGGACTTTCCTCCCACGGACTCTCAGCCAGACTGAAAGGAGGAAGGAAGAAGTGGGGAAGCATCTGCGATCACCCCCATCTCCAGCCTGAAGGACTGGGCTCCGCACTGGCGGCCTGGTCCTGGGGAGAGAGGCTGGCCCTTTTGTGCGCGGCCGGCCTCTGAGGGGGCCCTGGCCTCCCCGCAGTGTCCACCTGGCAGAGAGCCCTCCGGAAGCCACGGGGAGACCTTTCTAGAGTCCATGCTCCCCCTGGACGAGGCTCTGGCTCCTGCGGTGGGGTTCTTCCCAGCCCTTCTCTAGGCTCTGGGCCCTGGCCCCCAATATGCCCTGTGCTGCCCCTTTGATGCTAACTAACACCCTCTTCATTTGCCTCTGCATCTCATTTGTTCGGTGTGGCAGGGCCAAAACCATTTCGTTGCCGCATGTTTGAGACTCGAAGAATCGAAGTGATTTGTCTGCATTGGTGGGAGTCCCAGGTCTCCAGACACAAGCAGGAGGGACCAGGGCTCTGCTGCCTCCGCTCCTTCCTCAGGCAGGTCATGCTTTGAGCTCACTGGCACCCCTGCTGGTAGGATGGGGCGCTGCGCCTATCTCACTGGGTTCTCATGAGATTTAGATATTGTCTGTCTCTGGGGATCGGCACAGATGGGGGTTTAAAATGGGAGCTAGCAGAAACCGGTTTGGCTCAGTGGATAGAGTGAGGCCCACGGACTGAAGGGTCCCAGGTTCGATTCCAGTCAAGGGCATGTACCTTGGTTGTGGGCATATCCCCAGTAGGGGGTGTGCAAGAGGCAGCTGATCAATGATTCTCTCTCATCGATGCTTCTAACTCTCTATCCTTCTCCCTTCCTCTCTGTAAAAAATCAATAAGACACAGCTAAAAAATAAAATAAAATGGGGGCTACTGTTAGTCCAGGCCTCCACGGACCCACGCTGAGCAGTAAGCTCCACGATAGTAATGTATTAAAATTATTAAATGGGCACATGTTGGATGAATAAGTGGTTATTATTCTCTATTTCTACCACTCTCCCCAGGAACACTTTCTGGGTTAGTCTGTGGAGGGGGAAACTTTTCTAACTTCAGGTCTCATTCGTCCAGATTCAGAAATTCTCTTTCTCCCAGCAACACCCTTATACCGGATCCATGAAGACTGTCTGTAGTTACGGGCTTGGTCCCCCTCCCACCCGACTCCTTGACAACAGGCACCCCAGCCTGGGCTGTGCTGGGGAGAATGTGAGTCCTTCATGCCGGGAACTCTAGCAGGCCGAGGTCTGGGGGGTCCTCCATGTACAAAACTCAACCTGTTTTGCTCAATGGATAGAGCGTCAGCCTGCAGACTGAAAGGTCCCAGGTTCAATTCCGGTCAAGGGCATGTACCTTGGTTGCGGGCACATTCCCAGTGGGGGTGTGCAGGAGGCAGCTGGTTGATGTTTCTCTCTTATCGATGTTACTAGCTCTCTATCCTTCTTCCTTCCTCTCTGTAAGAAATCAATATATTAAAAAAACAAACAAAAAAAACCACCTCGACGTCTCCTCTCCATTCTCATGACCACCACTCAGGTCCATGTTCTCCCTCCGTCACCCCAGGTGTGACAGCAGCCTCTGAGCCTAAGAGCTGGGCTCCCAGCCTCTGGTCTGTCCCTCATATCCCCTCCACAGATCCACAGGAAAGGTTGCCCTTCCCCCAGCTCACAGGATTGAAGCCAGACACCTCTGCAGTACAGGTCCATCATGCCCAGGTCACCGCCATCGCTCACACTTCTCCTTTTGTCTGCCTGGACACACACATTCTCCTGGTGCTTCTGACATTCCCAGGGCTGAGATGTCCCCTCCCCAACACCCTTTGCCCCTAATCAAACCCCATTCTTTATGTAAAGCCTAGAAAATGATTCCCTTCCCTTAGGAAACCGGGAAGCCCACTCTGATGTCTCTCTTCTGAGCCCATCCTATGCCTTGGCTCTTCTTTTAACCGGCATTTATTAGGGGCGACTTTTTGTGTGCCAGGCCCTGTAGACACAGAACAGGCCTGGGTTCCTGCCTTCCAGGGGCACCCAGTCCAGGGGCAGCAGACAGACATGTAAATGGAGGGCTGGGCCGGCAGGTGAATTGAGGGCCCACAAGGCGCAGTGAGCCTGGAGGAGGGGCCTGTGGAAGGGCCATGTGCTCTCGGTCTTGACGCTCACAGAAGAGCTGCAGGGAGGGTGCTATGGAGCCAAACAGAATCACGGAATGACACGTTGCTGTGTGTTTTCCTTCAGCTGCTGTTCAATGTCCTAACCGGTTTGGCTCAGTGGATAGAGCGTTGGCCTGCGGACTGAAAGGTCCCAGGTTCGATTCCGGTCAAGGACATGTACCTTGGTTGTGGGCACATCCTCAGTAGAGGGGGTGTGTATAGGAGGGTGTGTGTGTAGGAAACGATGTTTCTCTCTCATCGATGTTTCTAGCTCTCTATCCCTCTCCCTTCCTCTCTGTAAAAAATCAATTTGAAAAATAAGTAAATAAAAATAAAAACCGCTGTTTGCGTGCGTGTCTTGCCTTCCCAGCGAGGTTAACCAGCTGGAGTGTGGGGACAGGCTGGCATTCTGTTCTCCCAGCGCCAACAGTGGTGCGTGACGCCATGTGCTCAGAAAGGCTTGCTGACTTGCAGCCGGTAAACAATCCAAGCTCCACTGGGATAACTGCCTGAAGGGAGCCGCCCTGCCCGCCCTCCACTCCGCATCACCACCTCTAAAGCGGCACTCACACCCAATGCCGCACCCCGTCTGGCTGGTTCCCTCCTGCCATCGGGGTGCCACCTTACCGGCAGACACCTGTTCAGCTGCCCCAGATCCTTTATTGAAGCCTCTTGTTTGACCCAAATACATTAACAAAAGATGGCTGCGATCCAGCCCCAATCACAGTGCCCTCCCTTCCTCTTGGCCAAGGATATAGGGTTTGGGAAAGTGGGCGAAGAGTGTGTACAGGTGGGGGGAACAGAGGAGAGACGGGGGCCCAGAGATACGACAAGAAAGAGTGTAGGGAGCAATGGAAGGAATAAATAGATATAGGACATTGTGGGGCAGGACACAGCAGTCAGATGAGATAGCTGGGCTGTTTGTAGTTCCTTTTCTCATCAAGTGAGGGGTTCAGAGTCTCAGCACACAGCATATAGGCCCCGGGGACCCCTATGGCAGAAAACGACCTAGTATCCCTGGAGGACTTCAGGGAAGGCGGGAGGGAGCCTGAGGAGAGCAGGTGGGGCACGGAGATGGTTGCCATAGCAACTAGTCATCATCATCGTCATCATCGTCGTCGTCGTCGTCATCATCATCATCATCCTCTGTGTTGATCTCACCCTCCAGCACATCCTCCAGCCAGTCCTCCAGCTCCTCGGCGGAAGGCAGGTCCTCCTCATCGTCCATCTCCATCCATATGCTGTCCGCCTAGGGCACAGCACAGATGAGGCGTGAGCTGAGCCCGACTTGGTTCTCTGGACCCGTCCTCCCACTCGGTGGGCTCTGCACATCCTTCCCTATTCCTCTGTCCCCTCCCTTCATCTCTCCGTGGCCAGAGGAGAAGCTCTAGGTTATAACAGTGACCACAGGAGTAGAAGGAACGGCTGGATGGGCAAATAGGTTTTCTCCCTTCAGTCTTCCTGCCATGTTGCTGTCGTGCTGAGCTCCTGAGACAGACCTCTCTATCATGCCCGGGATGCAGGACCGCTAGTGGCTGTCTACGGCCTAAAGAGTCACGTCAGAAGCTTCACCATTCAAGGCTTTGCTGTTCCAGCACCAGCCTCAGGGGTTACTAGACTCTCAAGCCACAAAACACTACCAGCCTTTTCCCGATCCTAATCCTCATTTTCCTACTTTTGACCTTTCACACTGACTTTTCCATAAGCTTGGAAGAGATTTCTCATAATTTTCACTTGTAAAACTCCTCTACATTGTGCAGTCTCCACTTTGAATGCCACACTCCTTTTAAACCCTTCGCTGCCTGACCAGTGTGGCTCAGCAGTTGAGCATCAACCTATGAACCAGAAAGTCACACGTTCAATTCCTGGTCAGGGCACATGCCCTGATCGCGGGCTCGGTCCTGGGTGTGGGGCGTGCAGGAGGCAGCTGATCAATGATTCTCTGTCATCATTGATGTTTCTCTTTCCCTCTCCTTTCCTCTCTGAAAGGAATCCTATATAATAAAGAAGGAATATGCAAATTGACTGTCACTTCACCACAAAGATGGCAGAGGAGAGGGGGTTCCATAACACAAGATGGCTGTACCCACAGTGAAGGCCAAGTTACCGTAATGAACCTTAATAAGCAATCAGCAGGTACCTGAGGCTGCAGGGATCACCCCCCCCCCCGTAAGGCTTGATGGGGGACCTCAAGATGCACCCCTTATCCCAGTGCTGGGCTAGGGGACCTCAGGCTGCACCCCAATCCAGTGGGACTTGATGAGGGACCTGAGGCTGTGCCCCCTTCTGGTGGGGCTTGACAGGGGATCTCAGGCCATGTTCCCCATCAAGTGGGGATTGACGAGGGATCTCAAGGTGTACCCATGCCTTGGCTTGGGCTGGGGGTCCTCAGGCCGTCCCCCCTACCCCGGCGCTGGACCAGGGGACCTGAGGCTGCGCCCCCCATCTGGTGGGGCCTGACAAGGGTGGGACTGGCCAGATCTGGATGTAACCCAATAGGGGAGGACTAGCTGGGTCTGGGTCTCTCGCAGTTTTGAGGTGCACGTAAGTGGGTGGGGACTTGACTCTGGGTCCCGTGGTATGTGCCAGACTCTGACAGGATGAAGATTTCCATATACATTTTACTAATTTTTTTTTTTTTATCTCTGACACTTCTATTATAGAGAAAGGGCAAATAGCAATATTAAAATATGTCCTCTAGTTAATCCCCCCCCCTTTTTTAAAAATATATTTTATTGATTTTGTACAGCGAGGAAGGGAGAGAGATAGAGAGTAAGAAACATCAATGAGAGAGAATGATCAATCAGCTGCCTCCTGCACACCCCCTACTGGGGATATGCCCGCAACCAAGGTACATGCCCTTGACCGGAATCGAACCCGGGACCCTTCAGTCCCCAAGCCGACGCTCTATCCATTGAGCCAAACCGGTTTCGGCTAGTTAATCCCCTTTTAATGTGCATGAATTCTGTGCTCCGGGCCACTAGTAAAAATGAACAAAAATAAACACTTCTTTGATTTTCTCAAGCAGAAATCACTTTGATTTTTGTGCCTTCCTAGCTTTTTATTTGTGTCTTCATTATAGAGTTTATCAGATCTGTCCTGGTAGTGAACGGAATGCCTGCCTCCCTAGTTAGACTGAGAATCATATGAAAGCACAGACTAGCTCAACTCCACAAACATTACCAAAGCACCTGCCATATGCAAATGAGATTTCTGCCCCAAAGTCTCCTGGAAAAGACACGTGTGGCACATGCATAGCCACATGGAAGTCATGTTCTCAGTGCCAATGGGCTCTGAGCGTGCAAAGGAAGAGATGAGTCCAGGGGAGAGATCAGAAAAGACTTCACGGAGAAGAGGATGTTTGAACGAGGCCTGAAAGGATGAGCAGCCGGTTCTAACAGGTGGAGACGGCCGTGGTCAGGGTTAGTGTTAGGCTGGGCATGTCTGCTTCTTCTGGGAAGACCCAGCTCCTCCTCAGCAGAGCAGAGGGGAGCCAGCTATTGAGCTGAGGGTCAGCCAGGGATGAACGAGGGAAACTTACATCAGTCACATTGACGACTCCTATCTGTGGGGCTGACAGGTCGATATCAAACGTCTTCTCCCAGTATGGAACCAGCTGTGGAGACACCACACGGGCAACTTAATGGGGTTGATGAGCACATGGGCCCAGGAGGGGGTGAGGGTCAGCACGGGGATAAAGAACACTGTGAGCCCACGGCAGAGCAGGAGGGCCCAGCTGCCTGGCCTGAGGGAACAGGTAGAGCTAAGCAGTTCAAGGGTAGAAAATCCAAAGGGAAAATATAAGGAGCAGGACCAGCCAGGGACCTGGACTCCGCCCTGTTTTGATCCTGGATCTGCTACTGAGTGACCCTGTGATTCTGGCCTAGTCATTCTTTCCCGCCCTCAGTTTCCACATCTCTACACTGAGGTAGTTACACCTGGTAGCTGCCCATTTCCTCACATTTCCGTTGGTTCATTCAGTTAGTGTTCAACCATGAATGCTGGGGGTTGGGGTTTAAGTTGGGAACAAAAATGTCCCCTGAGACAGGGACCCTCTGTGCTTTGCTTCTGTGATTGCGTACATCCACGTGCTGGGGTCACATGTCCATCTGCTCCCCCAAATTCTGATTTTCTCTAGGAGGAGTCAGCCTCCGCCCAGCTTCTGCTCTGGGAGGCATGTGGGCGATGTCCCATGTGGCTCCTCCCGATCCCGCTCCCCTTCTCAGGCCCTCCCCAGGCCCACAGTGCCCTGCAGCGTGCAGCGGGCAGAATCTCCCAGGCCCTCCTGAAAGGAGATGGGATAGGAACTTGGAAACAAGCTCCCTCCAGAACCTGCCAGAGTCTGGGCCCTAACTTCAGACCGCCGGGCCTGAGCAGTGCCTCTTACCAGGGGAAAGTCGTCGGGGTCAATCCAGATGATGCTGAGGTCAGGGTTTTCAGTGTTATCTTGGGCCACAGCCTTGAGAGTCTCTAGGAACTCGTAGCCGTCTTGAAGGAAACAGCAGCGAGAAGAATGGGGTGGGTGGAGAGAAAAGGGACAAACGGAAGACAGGATCCAGATCCCTTACCTCTCCTCCCCCATTTCCACAAGTGTAGCCAAGGCCACTTGCACTTGCCCAGGAGCCACTCCAAACACCCCTGTCCCCCCCTTTCACCAACCCCTCCATTCATCCAGTCTTCCTCCCTCACCCCCTTTCACCAACCCCCCATTCATCAGTCTTCCTCCCTCACCCCCTTTCACCAACCCCCCATTCATCCAGTCTTCCTCCCTCACCCCCTTTCACCGACCCCCCCATTCATCCAGTCTTCCTCCCTCACCCCCTTTCACCTACCCCTCTCCATTCATCCAGTGCTCCTCTCTCACCCCCTTTCACCGACTTCCCCATTCATCCAGTCTTCCTCCCTCACCCCCTTTCACCGACCCCCCCATTCATCCAGTGCTCCTCTCTCACCCCCTTTCACCAACCCCCCCATTCATCCAGTCTTCCTCCCTCACCCCCTTTCACCAACCCCCCATTCATCAGTCTTCCTCCCTCACCCCCTTTCACCACCCCCCCATTCATCAGTCTTCCTCCCTCACCCCCTTTCACCGACCCCCCCATTCATCCAGTCTTCCTCCCTCACCCCCTTTCACCGATCCCCCCCCATTCATCCAGTGCTCCTCTCTCACCCCCTTTCACCACCACCCCGCCCCATTCATCCAGTCTTCCTCTCTCACCCCCTTTCACCGACCCCCCCCATTCATCCAGTCTTCCTCCCTCACCAGGATCAGCTTCCTCCGCAAAGGCCACAATGTGGATCCCATCCATGTCGTCCTCCTGCGGTGGGGGAAGGAGGAGGGCCTTAGCTGCACTCCCCGAAGGCAGAGAGCCCAGAACAGACCCTCCATCTTTCTTGAACCTGACTTTTATGGAAACTCAGCTTCTGGATTAGGGGACTTCTTATGGTGGTGACCCTTTCCCAAGTGACACCTCCGTTCAGCTCTGGGCCCCAGACCTCCTCTGGCAAACCCTTCAGCCCCAGAACTGGCTCTACCTTATCATCTCCCCCGCCCCAACATATTTTTATTGATTTCAGAGAGGAAGGGAGAAGGGAGGGAGAGATAGAAACATCAATGATGAGAGGGAATCATTGACTGACTGCCTCCTGCATGCCCCCTACTGGGGAACAAGCCTGCATCCTTGGCATGTGCCCTTGGCCGGAATGGAATCCAGGACCCTTCCGTCCACAGGCTGACACTCTATGCATTGAGCCAAACCAGCTAGGGCTGCCTTGTCATCCTTATCAACTTACATGTGACACGTTCTTCAGAACAACCCCCTCCCCCAACCTTTGCTGGCGCCATTGTCTTTCCTACACGCGAGGCGCGAGGCGCGAGGAGCAGTAGGGCGGGAAGTTTCTAGGACTTGCCTCTGCACCCACCTATGTTCCCCCAGGGCCTGGCCCTGCCGAGGGGTACTCACCCAGGTCTCGTACATGCTCTCAGGCTTCAGTTTCCTCAGGGTGGATCTAGAACAGACAGAGGATACCCCCCACCCCAGAGTCTCCATAGCAGAGGCTGCCTGTGGCCTTGCCTAGGGCACGAGCAGCTAGGAGCCCAGAACAAAGACATCTGGGGAAGTCTAAGCTCTGAGCACCAGGCTCAGACCACGGTGTGTTTTAAACAGGTGGGAGAATGGAGGGTGGACAAGGGGACTGCAAGAGAGCCTTTTGGTAGGAAGTTTAAGAACTGAGCATCTGAATATTCATTTTTTCCATTCATTCATTCATGTACTCATTCATTCAATAAAATTGGGTGTCTGAGATGTTCTGAGCCCTGTGCTAGGTGCTGTGTAGATAGAGTTAAACAGAGCACACACACTTCTGCTAAAAGAGATGATGATCTAGAGGGAGAGAGAGAGTGCGGTTTACAGCGATGAAAGGCCATTTCCAGCTGGGAAGTTCTATGAGAGAAGAGAGCTCTGTGAGTTTCAGGCAGGGTTCCTACTATTGACTTGTGGGGCCGGGTCATTCTTTGTTGTGGGGGCTGTTCTGGTAGCAACATCCCTGGCCTCTACCCACTACATACCAGCAGCATCGCCCCCAACAAAAACCCTCTCCAGACATTGCCCAACATCCCCCGGAGAGCAAAATCCTCCCTCCACCTTGCCAGTCTCTCCAGCCTGTGGACGCCACTGGTGGAGGGTAAGGTCTGAGAAAGGTCGCCGGCCAGATTTGGATGGGAATTCAGTTCTGACCCTTGTTGCCTGTGGAACCTCTTTGCTTGAGGTTGTTAAGAGGATTTAGCAGAAGAATACAGACAGCAAGCACCTCTTGGTTCCTGGAAGACCACAGGCACTCAATGCTCATCACAACCCACGGTACACATTTCTGGAGAACCTTCTACAGGTAAGGGCTCAGGGCTGGTTAGGGTGCAAAACACTGTGGGGAAGAGTCAGCATGTCTTGAGCACTGGCTTCCGGAAGTAGGTTGCCTCAAGGCGAGAGAAGCCCCCGGTGAGCTGGTTTTCCCCCAGCCCATGCCACAGACCGGTGCTCAGAGGTCCGCCCCTGCCCTACCTCTTATGCTCCTCCACGAAGCTGACAATCTCCTCTTTGCTGTTGGGCTTGTCTGGGATGGTCACGGGCTCGTCCATGAAGGCTTCATAGAAGTCAACCTCGTTCATCTTCAGGGTCAGCTTCTTTGCCACCTGGGGGTGGGGGGGAAGAGGGCTGAGCGGGGGATGCAGGGTCACGGTGAGAGGCAGTGTGACGGGGGAGCAGGGAAGGGGAAGGCAGTCAGACTGCCATTGTGACATTGGACAAGGGTCTCCTCTTTTCTGGGCTTTGACTGGACACGCGAGGACTGGGTTAGAGAATCTGAAGTCTCTGGGGTGGGGAGGCCTGAGGGAGAGGTGGGAGTGTGGTGTGCAGGGAGGTGGGGGGAGAGGGAGGTAGGTCCCCATAGATTCTGGGAGAGGGGTTGGAGGGCTGCTGAGGTGGGTGAGGGAGACCCCGTGTGTTCCGGGGGGGAATACCTTGCTGTCGAAGGTGGCGAAGAAGGGGATGTACGGGTGGAACTCCTCTGCGGCGTCCTCAAAGGCCTTGTAATCTAGAGGGGGAGCAGAGTCAGTCCCTGGGAGAGCAGGCTGCGCCCAGGAGCCCTCTCACGTCCACCTCCCCTTGTTCGGAGACCCACCCGCTTTGACCCTCTGAGAGTGAGAGACGCATGTGACGGAGGAGGCGGCATGCTGGAGACACCCCTCCGGGAGCCGCCAGAGTGCGGGAGATCAGGGTGGGCGGGCGGCGGCGCGGACTGTGGCTAGGCGTTGGGAGACAGAGGGGCCGTGAGGTGGGTGAAGTGCGGGGGAGGGGGAAGTCCAGGGAGGAGAACGGTGGAGGCTGAGGGTTACCCACGCTCTGAGTCTTTGCTCTTGAAGTAGCCGATGAGTTTGTTGTCATCCTCGATGTTCTCAAACGCCTGCAGCTCTCGTTCACCCTCGATCAATTCCACGGGGTCCTCTAGGACCTGGGAGAGCAGGGGCATCGGAAGAAGAGAGCCCGTTTCTATCCTCACTGGTAGGAGAGGAGTGAGGATGAGGAGGAGAGGGCTGGGAACAGGGAAAGGTGCTCAGGGGTGTGTGTGTGTGTGTGTGTGTGCATGCACGTCTAAGGTTGGGTTTGCTTAAGGATAGGCATAAAGTCTTGAAGCGAGGACATTAGGTCCGGGGCCATGAATCCTCACATCAAGCAGAAACTCCACCAGGGTGTCAGCAGCGAGCTCGCCGTCATACTCAATGACTTCGTCTCCCTTGAACACGTAGATGCTGTCCTCTTCCGTGAGTCCTGGGAGTGGGCCAGAGAGGAGCGTGACCCCAGCCTTCCCACAGACCCCCGAGTAGTCCAAATTCAGGGCCAGAGCCCATTCTATAATCCCACTGGACCCCACCTCCTCCCCTCCCCTTCCCCACCTCTCTGCCCTGTAGCCCTGCACCCCTGGGTCTATGCCCTGGTGCAAGAGGCTCTCCAGGGAGAAGCTGAGATCAGGTGAGGGTGTTAGGGAGGATGTACAGAGATTCCTCCTCTCTCTGATTGTCACACTGAAGAGAGATTTCATGTTACCTCCCCTGGGGACTCCAGTGGCCAGTGGCCAGTTTGGCCTTTTAACCTCTGCTGTTACTGACTCTGAAGACTTCATCACAGACTACCCCCCTACCCCCCCCCCTTGTCTGATGGCCAGTCTCAGGCCTGTGTCGCCCCCTGGTGGCCGGTGCTGTCACACCTAGCCAGGGCTCTGGAGGGGGAGGGGTGGGGAGAGATGTTCGCTGAGGCCTCCCCAGCCCCACTTGAGTTCCCTGGCTCCCCTTTTCTCCAGCACCTAGTCCTGAAAAGCATAGGAAGCAGACCGTGGCCACCTCTTCCTGGGCCTTGAGCAGGGGTCTCTGTCAGGAATAAAAGACGCCAGGACCCTTAGCCATCACCCTCCTCCTGTCAGTATGTTCTCCCCTTCAGAGCAGCAGCTGGAGTGCCTAGCCCACACCCGGGCTGCCCGTCCTGTCTCCAGGCCACCGTCCCCTCCTAGCGCTCCCACCCCGCCCGCCCTTACCTAGTTTCTTGGCGACAGCTGTGTCCTTCTCAGAGTCCACCATCCCGAAGCCAACACCCTTGTCTTCGAGCACTTGGGCTGCTAGCTGCAGGGAGGGGTGGGTTCAGGTCAGGGCCTGGAGTTCACAGTCATCCCTCTTCCCCGCGCATGCTTCCAAGTGGGCCACTTGGGATGCGGGTGGTTGAAGAGTTGACCTTGACGCCGTGTAAGGATCCAAATACCTCCTCCTTTCCTACTTCTGCTCCTTAGCTCAGCACATGCCTGAACGCCTACTGCTCGCCTGCAATGTGCTCATTATGCTGAACTTCGAAGCCTTGGGAATGCTGAGGAATCTGGCTCTAGAGAGACCGAGGCCCTTCCCTCACTCGGGGCTGAGCTCACACATCCATCCTCATCAAAAGCCGTGCCCAATGTGGGCTGACATCCCTGGGATTCTCACAAGTGACCCACAACTGGAAGGATTTGGAGAGCAGGGGCGTAGTGGGGGTGGGGTGGGCCGGTCACATGGCTGATGAGAGCAGAGGTCCCTGTGACCAGCACTTGTCACCCTCAGAGGGAGAGAGCCAGAGCCAGAGCCAGAGACACGGCTGGGCCCCCTCATCCTGTGAACGGTCCCCTCTACTCTGTCTCCCCAGGCCGCTGCCCCGCAGCCTGCCGGCCTCACACTCAGCCCTGCGTGCTTGGCCCGGGTGTGGCTTTGGGCTCAGCCCCACCTCGCACAGCCCCGGCCCGGGGGGGGGGGGGGGGGGGGAGAGACAGGGAGGCAGGCAGTGGCAGGTGGGTGGCCGCGATGCTGAGCCCTCAGGATAAAAATACTCGGCTCATTAATCAGAGGGCCGGCCCGTTCCAGCCTGGCAGGGGCACACAGACATGAGCGCCTGCGGGCCTGGTCTCTTGCCCTGAAATACTCCAAGTCCTGGGCGAGCCGGGCCTCTCTGTATGGCCGGGCCCAAGAGGGGCTGCTGACGCCCGGACGGGAGTTAGCACACGCCGGCTGCAGAGGGACGTGCAGCTGCATCGCCCGGCATCTCCGGACACAGGTGTTTGATGGCGGAAAAGCCCCCTCTCCTCTGAGCCGAGGTCAGCTCGGGGGTGAGGAGAATCTCCCCACAGAGAGAAGCTGGGGAAGGCGCTCTGAGCCTCTTCCGACCGCAGGCATGTTCCAGCCAGAATAGCCTGCTTCACCCATCAGGGGCTCGGGGGAGCGAGGGAGCGGAGGGAGAGCGAGGGACGGGGCCACGTGGAGGCGTGCTGGGCTCTAGCGAGCCTTCAGCCGGGACAGAAAGGACTTGTGAGATGCTAGTGACGGTTTCATCTACACTCAGTGTAGACCCCTTTGGGGTGCTGCTCCTGAGGGTGCAGAGAGGAGCATGTCCCCCCTTCCCCTGAAGAACCTCCCTTATGAGGACACCCCAGTCCTAGCCGAACCCGGTACTACCAGCTCCTGTAGTGTGGAGGAGACATTCCTCACAGCCCCCTCCCAACCCCCTCCCCGACCCCCCCCCCCCCCCATTGCCTGACTCCACTGGTTCTTTTGGGCCCCCAAGCCTCTCTCTCTCGTGCGGCTGAGGCCACATGCCACGTGGGTCCTATTGGCCAAAGCAGGGGTCCCGCCACACTGTCCCCGGCCCCAGACCCCACCCTCCAAGGCCTGCGTGGGGTGGTGGGATGGGGGGGGGCTGCCCACAGGGGCTGGGCGTGCTCCGCCCCGGCACTCACCTCCAGGATCAGCTCCTCCATCTCAAACTGTCTCTGCGAGGCCTTGTCGTCCTCGGGCGGCTCGTGGTAGAGCAGCGCCAGCACCTCGTACTTCTTGAACACGTTCTTGTAGTTCTTGGCGTTGACGTTGACCACCCGGTCCACGCCGTCGTACTCGGGGAAGTCCAGCCCGTCCTGCCCCCGCACCCCGGGCTCGGGGGTCCCTAGCACCAGCAGCAGCAGCAGCGCCAGCCGCAGGCCCGGCCCGGGCCTGGCCTCCATCCTGACTGCGGCGTGCATGGAGGTAGTGAGCTCTGGGGCGGCTCTCCTGGTCCGGAAGAGGTTCGCTGGGGAGGGAGGGGGGCCCTGGGTCCTGAGGCCTGAGCGGGGGGCGCACGGTGAGGGTGGGGTGGGGAAGGGCCTCGGGCAGTGGACAGAGGACACTGCTGGGTCCCGGAGACACTGTCAACAGAGCCAAGAGAAAAAGGGTCAGAGGAGGAATAGGAGCGGGGGCGGGGAGGGAACCCGAGCTGCCCTGAGATTGGCACCCGCGGCCCCACCTGGTCCTGTCTAAATATGTTCTCAGCATTGGCAGGGGCGACGGGTAACCTTCTGAGGCCAGGGCAGCTCCACGAGAGCGGCTTCTGCCACCGCCTGCCCCTCTCCCCCGGCTCCCGGAGCCTCCCCTCCCCCCTCCTCTCCCCCCTCTCCCCTCAATGTCCAGGGCTCCTCAGCCCCGTCCCCACACCAGCCTAGCTCATCACCATATTAAGGAAGGAGCTAAAAATAAGAGCAGATGAGTCGAGAGGTAAATGAAGCTGGGGCTGGTGAAGGCGGAGCTGGGGGAGGAAGGGGAGGTGAGGGCCAGGGGACCCGAAGAGGAGGAAGTGGGGGCAGAGAGGGGGATATTCGGGGCCAGAGGTTCATTTCACAAAGCAGGGGAGGAGGGACAGGCGCAGGATGAACTCCAGGTCCTAGAACCTGGAATCCCTTCCGGGGGAAGTCTGTCTCTTGGGTCCTGTTGTGAAGAGGGGGACACCAACGTGGTCCAGGCTGCGGCAATGAGACCCGCCTTCCCCCCGACCCCCACTTCCCTTTTAAGAAGCGGGACCAAGGATGAGGTCATTCTCTGAATAAGAGATGCAGCCTCGTCCAGGACCGGAGACCTGGCTCCATTCCAGGAGTTTCCTTTGCTCCCTCAGCGCTCCTAACTTGGGGAGGACGGGGCAGTGATGTTGGGCCTTGGGGCCCCTCTGCCCTGGGGAGGGGAGAAAGCCCTCGGCCGCCTGCCGCCTGCTCCCGCTCTGGGCTCTGGTGCTGTGGGTCTCGGTTTTCTGTGCCCAGTGGGGAGGGAGGATCCCTGAGCTGCTGGTGCCAAGGAAGCAGCGAATAGCATTCATTCATTCATTCATTCATTCATTCAATCATTCCTGTCTCTGACAAGGGTCCGTACAAACACTGGTAGGGGGCGGGGGTGATTAAGGCTGGGAAATCCCCAGCCAAGGACGTAGGTTCATTCTGTGTACCTGAGAGCCAGCCCGCGTTGGGAAAGGCTGGCCCCCGTTCTGGAGCCCATCTTGGGGGCGAGGGCCCAGGGGGTGAGCTCAGCTCCGGGCACCTGGGAAGGAAGGACTGTCTCCAGGCGCTCACCATGCGCGGGTCCACGGAGGCACCCCCCTGGCGGGGCTGGGTCAACGTCAGAAGCCCCCAGGCCCACCCGGGAGCCCCCCGATTTTGGAGCAGCAGCGTTTCTTGTGCAGCCAGGCGGTGGCATGGAATGCAGGGAGAGGAGTGAACTTTCCCACGCTCCCGTGGGGCAGGCCTTGCTGGGCGGGGGCAGGCCGGCCGCAGGCAGTCCCGGGACCGTGGCAGAGTGAGTCCAGGAGGGACAGCGGTCCCTGGTGCAGGAGAGGCCGGAGGCAGCCTCGGCAGGGCACGCCGGACTGGGGGCCCTCAGAACCCCTCCATCTCCTGGCCACAGGAATGCGACTCACGTGAGCACAGCCCCGCAGCCGAGCGACCTTGGACAGGATGGATGGGACGGATGAGTGATCGAGGTAGTGTCTGCTTGTGGGGGCCAGTGGGGGAGCATGTGGACAGAGACCCTGGGACATCAGGCTTGGCCATGACGACTCTGGCCTGCCGTGTGCCCGCGAGGGTGGGCAATGGGGCTAAATGATGGCCCAGGCTCACTCCGTCGCCTCAGCTTCCCTGCAGCTGCAGACTGCTCACCCCTGCCTGCTCCCGCTGCTCCTCCTTGGCTCTGCAGGTCCACCCTGTGCTTTCCAGTCGCTGCACCTATCCCCTCCCCCCATCCTTTGAGCTCCGATGCTTTGCTCTCTGCTTTCTGCTCAGCGCCTTCCCTCCGAGCTGAGCCCCAGCTTTCAGGCGCTGCCGGTGTCAAATGACCCTGAGTTGGGGCCTCTGTATTTTTAACCCACCAGACACCCGAGGCTCTGGCTCCTGAAACCCGAGGAGCTGGCCCCTCTGTACCTCACCTCGTCCACACACCCCCTGGCCCCTCCAAATCCCAGGGTCTGGTTCAGCCCTGTCAGCAACTGGGGCAGGGGAGGGGGGAAGGGAAGGACCCCAGACTGATATAGCTCTGTCCCCAGGAGACCTGGCCTTGGAAGAGCGAGGGGAGCATGGGTGGGGAGGCCTCCGAGGTGGGGGGAGGGGGACAGTGGCTGACTGTACCTTCCAATGCCCTTCTCTTCGGCTTCCCACCCAGACTCGCCCATGACCCTTGCCCATCACCGTCCTGTTCTCTTGCTTGTTGATGATGGTTGTGTCTATTTCTGTCCCAGCCCTCATTGTGAGACCAGTCTGAAATGTGATGGAGGGCACACGTTCTGGAACCAGAACGACCTTGGTTTCCTCATCTCTAACGTGAAGCGGGTGGAAAGAATGTCTTTGTCCTGGGAGTTAATGGCCGGTGTGGGCCCTTGTCCCGCCGCAGGCACAGCACGCAGCCACTAAACACATCTCCTTCGCTTTTGGCGACAGTCGGTGATCCCCCAGCTTTCCTTAGCCTTTCTCCCTGGCTCTGTACTCCGTGGGGCACAGCCAATCCTCTCCTCTAGGAGAAGCCTGAAAATGAACGGACCTGCACGCCCAAGTAACCAGCGCACAAAGCAAAGCTGTGAAGGGGCGGAGAGGAAGGGAGAGCCAGGCAGGAGGGAAAGGCTCCCTGCGGACTCCTCAGTCCCCAGACCCTCAGCAGCATATAGGCCCAGGCTCAGCGAACCGACCAGGGTTCAGGGAATGGTCATCACCCCTGTGGAGTCTGGGGCATGAGGCGAGGTGGGGGTGGGGGTGGGGATTGCCTAACGCAGTGGTCGGCAAACTCATTAGTCCACAGAGCTAAATATCAACAATATCAAGATTGAAATGTCTTTGGAGAGCCACGTTTTAAACTTAAATTTCTTCTGACTCCACTTCTTCAAAATAGACTCGCCCAGAATGTGGTATTTTGTGGAAGAGCCACACTCAAGGGGCCAAAGAGCCGCATGTGGCTCTCGAGCCGCCGTTTGCAGACCACGGGCCTAATGTAAAGGCTACGGGGATATAGGAAGCGCTGAGTCAGCTTCTATTTCAAGGCAACAGCAGAGAGAAAGGGCGGAGGGTGGGAGGGTGAGGAGATGACCTGACCAGCACAGGGTGGAGGGCAGGGAATCACCAGTGCCTTCCCTGGCCCCACACCCTCCGCTCACCACACGGCCCTTCCCAAGCCAGTTAACCTCTCTGACCTCAGGCGCTTCCACGGATGCAGCAAGCTCTCTTCTAGCACGAAAACTCTGCTTCTCTAAGCTGCTCTGAGGAACAAAAGTAACGGACTGCATGTGGTACTGTGGTCCCCTGTCGTGTGGTCTGCTGCTCTTTTCCCCCTCTCCCATTGCTCTGATTCCAGCTGGACTCGTCCTGTCCTTGCTCCATCGGGTAGAAAAGTGACTCAGAGGGCAACGGCGCTTGATTCTGATCCCCTCCCAGCCTCAACTGTGGTCCCTGACTGTCCCTCCTGCCTGGCCGCCACGAAGATCTAGAGGGAGCGTGTCACAGTCCCCTCCACGCTCCCCAAACCTGATGCGATGCGTCCCGCCACGTGAGAGATGTTGTAAACGTTTACTGTCTAGACTGGTACTTGATTCGACAGGACAAGGTCCCTCTCCGCTGGGTCCAGTCAGATGCAGACGGGGCTTCACGACCCTCCCCCTTCTCCTTCTCCCCGCCATGGTGTGATCGGCCCAGCCCCAGGATTGTCTCTCTCTCTCATCCACGGTGGTTCGTCCCAGCATCTCTCTGTCCCAACTCAGATGTCGTGCCAAATGCTTACTCCCTAACCCCCTCCCCACCCCACCAGCCCATGTCACGTGATGCTCTTCCTCTTCTGAGCTTAGTAGTAGGTCTCCTTTTCCACCCAGCCTGCGGGAGAGAAGAGACCAGAATGGCCCAGGGAAGGCAATGGGAGGCACAAGGAGGAGTGAGTGGAAGGGTAAGCGAGGACCAGGTGGGAGGGCACCGAGGACTGGAAGGAGCAGGATGGTGGAATCAAGGACTGACTGAAGGACCGGGGTCCACACAGCCCAGGCAGTGAGGAGGGAAGAAGGCCAATGGGTCTGACGAACCAGGTGGGATGGGAGAGCTAGTTAGGAGGCTGGTCACCGCTCAGTCAGAGCGGGGTGCAGGGAGCCTCACCTCCAGGATTATGGCGAAGGATGAGCTTCCTTATTTCATCATAGATGAAGATCAGAATGCAGTAGGGAGCAGCACAGAACCACCAGAGGATCCTGCAGAGACAAGAGCTGGTCAGTGTGGCTGGAGACAGAGGGGCCAGAGAAGGGCAGACACAGGGAACAGTGCACAGGTGTTGGGTGGATGGCTGGTCCCCGCCTCTGAGGAGATCAGTCTGGGGATGAGAGAAGAGAGATAAATGCCACAGCAGGGATCTAGGCAGTGTGCGTGGGGATTAGTTACCAAATTTGTGGCTGAGGGAGGCCCCCTTCGCTTTCTGAGTCCTCTAGGCCAGTGGTCGGCAAACGCAATAATCAACAGAGCCAAATATCAACAGTATGATGATTGAAATTTCTTTTGAGAGCCAAATTTTTAAAACTTAAACTAGGTAGGTACATTGTTATTAACTTAATTAAGGTACTCCTAAGCTGGTTTTTGCTAAAAACTCAAGGGACCAAAGAGCTGCATGTGGCTCATGAGCTGCAGTTTGCCGTCCACTGCTCTAGACCTTCTACCCACCAAGGGGAGGTTGTCCAAGCAGGAGAGGTCTGAGACGAGGCGTGTGGGAATGTTTTCCCGGGAATATGCACATTCCTCTGAGTTGCAGTGATTGGGAACCTTTTCTTCCCGAACCTCTTGATTTTTAACAGAGAGGAAGGAGAGGGATAGAGAGCTAGAAACATCGATGAGAGAGGAACATTGACCAGCTGCCTCCTGCATACCCCCTACCAGGGATGTGCCCACAACTATGTACATGCCCTTGACCGGAATTGAACCTGGGACCTTTCAGTCTGCAGACCGAAGCTCTATCCACTGATCCAAACCAGATTCGGCCTGAACCTCTTTTGTGATTAGAGCCCGGGAGATGGACTCTGGGCAGGGGCTGAAACGGAACCACATATGTTCTCGGATGATGGAGAGAGGGCCTAGACCAGTGCTGTCAGAACGGAATGTGTTAAGAGCCACGGGTGAAATGTAGTATTTGCTAGTGGCCACCTTAAAACAAGAGAAACAATTGATTTTAATAATATGTGTTACTTAACCCAACATAGCCAACATATTATCATTTCAAAATGTCATTGATATCATTGATATTAATGATTCTTCTTTCAATACTAAATCTTTAAAATTCAGTGAGTATTTTGTACTCACAGCACATTGCAAATCAGACACTACATTTTCAGTGGTTAAATGAAAATGTTTGTAGTCCATCCCAAACTGTAAAGGTTTGTTTCATAGAAAAATTTTTGACACTGCTTTAGTTTTTAACTTTAAGTTTACTGAAACTAGCCCAGCTGGTGTGGTTCACTGCTTGAGTGTTGATCCATGAACCACAGCGGTCACAATGCGATTCCTGGCCAGGGTACATGCCTGGGTTGTGGGCTCCATCACCGATGGGGAGCATGAGGGAGGCAGCTGATCAATGATTCTCTCTCTTCCATAATGTTTCTATCTCTCTCTTCCTCTCTCTGAAATCAATGAAAACATTTTTTAAAATTTACTAAAGCTAAATAAAACTACAAATTCAGTTTTTCCATCTCATTAGCCATGTTTCAAGAACTCAGGTGACTACCATAGTGGACAGCACAGGCCTAGGCCAAGGTTATTTACACTTACACACACACACACACACACACACACACACACACACACACAGAGTTATGGACATACTGCCACCCATTTATTCATTCAACAACCAACGTCATATGTCTACTTAGTGTTTGTGTTAGGTTCTGGGGAAATAACAATGATGACATGTGGTCTTTGATCTCAAGGAGCTCAGGCAATCGAAGAAAAGAGGATAAAGAAACACAAAATAAATAATCTCAATATGAGGTGATGAGTGTTATGGTCCAGGTACATATAGAGTGTTTGGGAGAATAGGCAATGTTCAGCTGCATTTACTAATACTTACACTGAGTGGCCAGATTATTATGATCTCTGAACGCATAACAATCTGGCCACTCAGTGTGTGTGTGTGTGTGTGTGTGTGTGTGTGTGTGTGTGTGTATTAGAAGCCCGGTGCATGAATTCGTGCATGGGTGGGTCCAGCCAGCCTGGTCAGGGGGAGGGGACATAGGCAGTTGGCTGGCCTGCCTGCTAGTCAAACTTCTGGTTGAGGGAACAATTTGCATATTAGCCTTTTATTATATAGGATATACACTGAGTGGCCAGATTATTATGAGTTCAGAGCTCATAATAATTTGGTCACTCATTGTATACTTTGGCATTAATAGCAACAGTAATAGAGTTACTTTTAGAATATATATATATATATATATTTTTTTTATTTTATTTTATTTTATTTTATTGATTTTTTACAAAGAGGAAGGGAGAGGGATAGAGAGTTAGAAACATCAATGAGAGAGAAACATTGATCAGCTGCCTCCTGCACACCCCCTACTAGGAATGTGCCCGAAACCAAGATACATGCCCTTGACCGGAATCGAACCTGGGTCCTTTCAGTCCGCAGACCGACGCTCTAGTCACTGAGCTAAACCGGTTTCGGCATAGAATTACTTTTAATGAAGCACCGACTCTGACCCAAGCCCTGGGCTTGGTGCATTATATGCATTTCTGCATTTAATTCTCACAACAGTCTGCCTGGTTTGTATTATTGAGACTGCAGATGAAGCTGGGGTTTTACAATGCTAAGAGGTTGTCTAAGGTACCAGAGTAATACACTGAAGAGTTGAAATTCAAACCTGGGTAACTATGTACAGTGACAGATGGTTGCTAGACTTACGCTGGTGACTACTTTTGTAAGGTATATAAATGTTGAATCATGAAGTTGTGCACCTGAAACCAATATATAATATTGTATGCCAACTATAATTTAAAATTAAAAAAAAAAAGAAATTCGAACCTGGGATTGTCAGTATCTAAGAGTAATGACAATCTCTGTTATTAAAAATTAATTGAGCACCTACAGTATACAAAGCATTGTATAAAACATTGCAAGGGACAGAAATGTGAGCAAAATATGTAAGTGCAGAGAAAACGAGTTGAAAGAATGCACACCAAATCATTAACAGAATTACTTCTGTGTAGGTGGGGAGGTGAGTGGGGGTGGAGTGGAATGGGAGTTTTGCTTTTTTCTCTGTAAAATTTTTAAATAGAATCTTTTCACAAGCACAGACTAGTGTGAAAAACAAAAACACAGGAATGAACAAAACAAGGAACCAAACAATAAGACTTTCAGTGTGCCAGTTCGCTTAGAGACACATTCAAACGTATTTGCATACCTACGACAGAATTAGCCGTGAATATTGAGTTAGTTTTATGATTACTTCAGCTCTGAGTCTAGGTATCCTTGGACAACTAACTACACATCATCATCAATAAAAGATGTCACTCTGCCAATTTGCATATCTGGGGGTTGCATCACTTGTCACAGTTCCTAATCTCTCTCTAAAAGAAGCGTTTGTCAGAGCATAGACAATTCTTTTAAAAATACATTTCATTGATTTTTCACAGAGAGGAAAGGAGAGGGACAGAGAATTAGGAACATTGATGAGAGGAATCATCGTACAGCTGCCTCCTGCACACCCCCCACTGGGGATGTGCCCGCAACCAAGGTACATGCCCTTGACAGGAATCAAACCGGGGACCCTTGTGTTTGCAGGCCGACGCTCTATCCATTGAGCCAAACGGGTTAGGGCAGCACAGACAATTCTTTTTACAACATTGAGTGTACCCCATTTTCCCTGCTCAGACACACAGTCCCTGGGCACTGAGATCCCCCTCCTTGCGTCCCTCCCTTACTCACTTGAGGGGGTACATTCGCAGGGCCACATCCATGCCTGGAGTGTAGGACAGAAAAGCAGCCAGCAATGTCTCCGCCACGATGCCGAATATCAGGACCTTGTTTCTGGGGGGAAATGCTTCATTGAATGTTGGAGTCAGTGAGGAAGGGAGGGGAGGGGACCACGGTGCGGCACTGTGTGCTGGTTTGGGGCGCCCTGGGCCCCCCGGAGGTGCTCACTTCATGCCCTGCTGGAAGACGGAGAGGCGGCGGGTCTTGCAGATGATGAGGTCGGCCCACTGCACGATCACGATGCTGACGAAGAAGGCCGTGTGGCAGGTGAACTCCACCACCTTCCGCTGCTCGTAGGTCTGCGGGGAGGGCGGGCGGCGCCGGAAGGGAGTCAGACAACCCCGAAGGCGTCTGCCCTCCGCCGCCTTCCCACACCCCAAGGCTGAGTCAGGTCCTTAGATTCCCAACAGCACTTCGCTCCTCTCTCTCTCATCACATCTCATGCCACAGGACGAGTTGTTGCCTGATGGAAAGAGTCCTAAGTCATGCCTTCTCTGTCTTTGTGTCCCTTTCCATGCTTAGTTCAGTGCCTGGCACATAGTTTGGCTCAGGACTGAGTTAATCAGAAGGGAGGTGTAGGAGAAGAAGGTGGACTTCAAGAGAAGAGCAGAGCCAGAGAAAAGAGGTCAGGAAGGAAGGGTGGGCCAGAGGGCAATCTGGTTGCAGACGGGAGAGGATGTCTGAGGGAGGTACCAGACGGGAGACGGCATTCTCCCATCCCTTCATTCACGCTTTCCATGTAAGGAGCATACGATACAGTCTAGTGGGGAAGAGAGATGTGTTATGTGAGCACACCAGGTAAGCTGTCAGAGAGCGCGATCACACAGGGCTGTGGGAACACAGAGAGGTGCAGCTGGATGAGACTGGAAACTCCATGTGTGTGAAGGACTTGTAGATGGAACAAAGACTTTGAAGCTACATAGGACTGAACAATACCGAGAGACTAGAGATTATGGAATATGGTCACAGTTGTATTTGGAGGGAGATAAACAGACTTAATTGATTAAGGTATTTCATGTGTCCTTGTCCACAATAATAATAAAAAAGAGCCTTAAATGACGAGAAAACAAAGGCTGAAAATTGGAGCCAAGTATCGAACTTGGAAAGATCACCGGGCTCCTTATGTGCATCAGATCTCACCACTGCCCTCCTTCACTGCACTTGGCCTCTGATCACCCGCCCTCCTGTCATCACGTGAAGATTTTAGCGCTCCCCACCTGGGCTGCTTGTTCCCAGGGTGAAACTCCTGTGTGTCCTTATCAACAGCTACAGTTTCTTTGTAGTTTCAACGCCAAGAATTCCTTCCTCTTTGACCATTATCTTTACCTTTCCATCTCACGGACTCTAATATCTCAATTCCAACCCCACCTGACCCACTATGTTCTAAATTTGCATATTTTCTGTTTCCTCCTCTGCCCCTAACTAGACTATATGCTCCACAAGACCAGTAACTTGGTCATTTTTGTTCACTACCCTATCTCCAGGCCCAAAACAGTAACTGGTACATAGAAGATGCTCAAGAAATAGTTGCTAAATGAGTGAGTGGTAATCAATAGAATTGATATCTAGAAGCTAAGGAGTTGCTTCTGTAATATGTGGAGTACCTTGCTTCTGTAATATGTGGAGTACCTCCAGGGTGCACAGCTCTGTACTCGATTATCTGAAAGTCACAGCTGTGGAGGAGACATAGACCCAGCCTTTATGGAGCTTATGCCTCAGGACAATTTTTCTCAACCCATTTTGCATTTCCTCAGGATATGTTTGGTGTGATCTGATGTTATTTCAAATTAATTTTAGTTACCTTTAATTTATTATAAATGAATACATGTCAAGCTGCATCTTGGCAGCAGGGAGATGGTATCAAGATATAAAATTTGCCCAGTCGGTGTGGCTAGTAGTTGAGGGTCAACCTATGAACCAGGAGAGGTCACAGCTTTGATTGTGGGCTTGATCCTCAGTAGGGGGTGTGAGAGAGGCAGCTGATCAATGATTCTCTCTCACCATTGATGTTTCTATTTCTCTCTTCCTTTCCTTTTCTCTATGAAAGCAATAAAAATATATTTTAAAAAGAAATAAAACTAACAAGTATTTGAGCTGAGGATTGAGGTGATATGGACAATGGGGACTCAGGGCACCATTGGTCTCTGGAGCAGTGCTGGTAGCTGGAAACACAGATATCTAATGACCTCATGAGGCTCAGTGTGTGTGAGGGGAATCATTCCAACACCCCAGATTTTATATATATATATATAAAATTGATTTCAGAGAGGAAGGGAGAGGGAGAGAGAAGATAGAAATATCAACAATGAGAGAGAATCATTGATTGGCCACACCTGCATGCCCTACAGTAGGATCAAGTCCACAACCAGGGCATGTGCCCTTGACCAGAATCAAACCTGGGACCCTTCAGTCCACAGGCTGACACTCTAGTCACTGAGCCAAACCATCTAGGGTAGTGGTCGGCAAACTGCAGTTTGCTGCTCTGTTGACTAATGAGTTTGCCGACCACTGGTCTAGGGCAACATCCCAGATTTTAACATACTTTTGGGAAACTTGCAATTCACTTGGTTGGAGGAACTGTGGTGAAGTAGGAAAGTATCAGGCAGGAAATCAATCGGGAATTCTAGTCCAACTCTTCTAAGATTCATTGTAGGACTTTGAGAAAGTCACTAAGTCTTTCCAAACTCAGTGTCCTCATTTATAGAATGACAATAGTAGCCTCTGTGTTCTCTATGGTACTAAGGTTCTAGCAATAACTGGTATCACATTATCCACTGTCTTAAAACTTGGGACAGAAGAATCCTATAAAATAAAGAGGGACTATGCAAATTAACCCTCACACCCTTGCACAAGATGGTTGCCCCCATGTGGTCAAAGGTGGCCACTACAAGATGGCCGGCAGAGGAGGTTAGTTGTGGGTGACCAGGCCTGCAGGGGAGGGCAATTAGGGGGACCAGGCCTGAAGAGGAAGGAAAATGGGGGAGGAGGAATTCAGGCCTGCAGGGGAGGGCAGTTGGGGGTTACTGGGCCAGCAGGGAAAGGCAATTGGGGACGGGGCGATAAGGTTGGCAGAGGAGCAGTTAGGCATCAATCAGGTTGGCAGGGGAGTGGTTAAGTGGGATCAGGCTGGCAGGCAGGCAAGTGGTTGGGAGCCAGCAGTCCCGGATATGAGAGGGGTGTCCAACTGCTAGTTTAGGCCTGATCACTGTGGGATCAGGCCTAAACCGGCAATCAGACATCCCCTGAGGGTCCCCAGATTGGAGAGGATGTAAGCTGGGCTGAGGGACCTTCCCCTCTTCCCCCAGTATATGAATTTCACGCGCTGGGCCCCTAGTTCACAGATTAAAAAAAACACACAAAACTTACTAAAATTCTTAAACATATAGTGTTGGTTTAGAGGGCTTCAGTTTGGGTCTCATTCATCTTGAGTGTTATGAAAGACTACTACAGAGAGGAATCCTCTAAGTTTAAAAAGTTTAGAATGAGTCTTGGTCAGAGAGCTCAGTTGCTTAGAGTGTCATTCTGATCTGCCAAGGTTGTGGGTTCGACTCTCAGTCAGGGTACATGCAAGAATCAACCAATGAAGGTATAAATAAGTGGAACAACAAATTGATGTTTCTCTCTTTTTCCCCTCCTCTCTCTAAAATTAAAATAGTTTAGAATTACAAAGAATGGATATACAAAGAAAATAGGTTTTTGAATTTGAAATTATATTATTTGAGCTCCCATTGAGGGAGACAGTGAAACAGGAGACAGAGGCCCCAGCACTCATTTCTGGGTAACGATGGTTAGAAGATAGAAAAAACAGAAATCAGACCTCAAAAGCTGACAAGACAAAGAAGACTTCCAGGAAGCCAAAAGATACAGGGAGGTAAGGACAGAAAACAGACAGTAGGAATGAACACAAATGAAGTCATGTAAACAAAGAGAAGAATATTTGCTGACATGACTAGAGAATGAGGTTGAAAGTTACAATACTCACTTAGGACTAGAGATAAGGCATCAACTCTCTCTGCTTCCTCCATTTTCCCACTCTTCAAAAATTTGATAAATCCACTCTTTCTGTCACTTCTCTCTCTCTCTCTCTCTCTCTCTCTTTTTTTTTTTTTTTTTAAAGAGTTTTTATTGATTTTTAGAGAGAGAGGAAGGAAGGAAGATGGAAAGAGAGAGAGACATTGATGTGAGAATGGAACATCAAAACTTCAATCAGCTGCCTCCTGTATGCATGGGAGAATGCTCAACCAACTGAGTCACACCAGTCAGAAAGGCCCGTCACATCTTCACTCTTACTACCTACTACTAGGTAGTCACTATCTACTATCCCACCCCTCTTACTCACCCACTGCTGTCCATAGCTGTCCTCCAGGTCATTAAAATGTCGATTTTCCCAGTTGATGCGGATGCCCAGCAGATCAATAGGCCTAAAACCATTTTCGGCCAGAATCACAAAGTACGTAAAGAATCCAGCCAGAGCCTGAATCATCCCTGTGAGTGGTAGAATCACAGAACAGGGGAACCTGGCTCAGAGAAAGATTTTAAAAGGCAGACCTTGGAAGGGGTGGTGGCTGGGACTTGCTTCTAGCTGGCTTGGTGTGTGTGCAGCTATAATGCTGAAGATGCTTCCAGCAATAATCTGACCCCATCATTTCTGTATTTCTAAGCTCTAACCCAGCGTCATCTTTCAATCATGTAACCTTAAAATCTGAAAGGACCTTTGAGAAAATGTCTTCCTTCTCCCGAATGAGTCAGTGCTGGAGTCCTCCCTGTCCATTTCCTCTGACATTAGAACACTCGCAAAGTCCTCTCCTCCCCTCTCCTCTCCTCTCTCCCATCAGGCCCTTGCCTCTCCCTTACTCACAACCTCTATTCCCCATGCCTGGACCACAGCAATAGCCTACTAACTACAGAGCTCTGCACTGGGCAGATGACCGTGGACATTGGTCTTCACAAGTCTGAACTATTATTTCCGTCTCTTCAGTGGAAAACAAAAGCACAAAAATGATTCAGTCATTGTCCAGGGTCATGCAGCAAGTGGTAAAATGGGGAGTCCTACATCTCTACTTTTTCTGTGTGTTTCCACCTTTAGATGTTGGGGTGGACCCCTTCCAAGGTCTGCCTTTTGAAGTCTTTCTCTGAGCCAGGTTCCCCTGACCTCAATCTCTTCCCTGTCCACCCCTCATTCTACTCCTGAAACACCCTACTGCACCTGGCAGCTCAAGAACAAAGACATCTAACGGTTTTCAAATGTACTTCAAACCTGGACCGATGGCCTATAGCCTTATTTTCCACTACTCCTTTATCAGGAATAAACTGGTTTATTCACCCTTCAACAACCAGACCATGTAAATTTCTCCTCTTCTCCCTGCCCCGCATCACTTAACCACACTTAATCTAAGTCCTATCTTTCAGCATCAAGTTTAAGTCCTGTTTCCCTCATAAAGTGTTCTGACAATCCTCATGATTGGGGAGCCTGCTTGGTTTTGTACTCCTGTCTATGCTCACTTTTTTGGCATTTGGAAAGAAGCTATCATCTTATATCTATTTGTTCCTTCCTGCCCAGGCTTTAAGTCAAGAGCAGACCACAGATCAATGGTCCATTGTATTCCCAGGGTCTAACACCGTTTGTGGTCAAGAACAAACTGACTTCCCAACTGAGATGGCTCCGATGACAAGACAGGTGCAACCATTCCCCACTCCCTCCCCCCTCATTCTGGCCGCACCAATTTGTCCATAGGCCATGCTGATGAGACGGTCGTTCACCAGTTTGTCAGTCTTTGGGTTCCGTGGAACCCTCTTCATGATGTCACTTTCAGCTTTCTCATAGGCCAAAGAGATAGCAGGGACCTGGAGAATGGAGGGTGGGAGGAACAGGGAGACACACAATTCAGAAGGAAACACACAAGTAATCCCAGCTAGGTCCCTGGCCCTGGACACAGATTCCACCTCCTACTCAGTCCATCTCACAGGAATTCTGCAGCTGGGTCCCGGTTTGGTCCTTACCATGTCCGTGCCCAGGTCGATGCAGAGGATGGTTATGGTGCCTAGAGGTAGGGGGATGCTGAGGATGATGAAGAACAGGAACGGGGAGATCTCAGGGATGTTGCTTGTCAGGGTGTATGCGATGGATTTCTTCAGGTTGTCGAAGATCAGGCGGCCTGGGGAGAAGGGTCAACCTTCTATGAGAAGACTAGAGAGGACACACCTCCCACAGACCAGCTCCTGGACAGAGGGACCTCTATAAAGCAGTGTCATGATCCATGAAAGTGTCTGGAGGTCCTAGGCCTCGGTGGTCCGAATTTTGTTTCTAAATTGTGTGTCTATGAATTAGAGCCAGGGTTTATCAGCATGCCATATCTATGCACTCTTCGTTCTTGGATTCAACATGGCTTAGTAAGCAGGGTTGGGCCTTGTTAACACTCAGAGGCGCTGGTGAACCCCAATATAGAAGTGGTTAAAAGATTAAGGCTGAAGTGGAAAGAGCCGGGGCTTGGGTTCTGACCTCATTTTCTGCCATAACTGGCTTGTGACTTTGGTTATCCCTCACCCTCTGCCTTGTAAGATGGCTTGATTTCTTCCCTGACGACCCTTTCAAAAACTGGAATGTCTCCCTGGACTCCTGCTTTATTTTTTCATTGCACGCAGCGTCCTTTACTATACTATACTATACTATACTATACTATACTATACTATACTCTACAATTTATTGTTTGCCTTGTTCCGCTAGAAATGAAATGACCTGAGAACAGGAATGTGTGTCTTTTGATTCCTCACGGTTGCATCCCCAGCATCTAGAATAGAACCTGGCACAACTATGGTTGGTGCTCAGGAAAGTGTATTGAACTGGATATAAAATACTGAACAACGTCTGGATCATCTGAGGTCTCCATAAAACGGTAGCTACTCCTATTCTGTGGATTGTCCTATTATGTAAGTTTTAGTAAATTAGCTCCAGGCAGAAAGCAGGAAGCTTGGGAGGCAGAGTTCTGGAGTTCCCGTTTACCAATGTGTATTGTCTTCAGAATTCTCTGGGAAAGAGGTAATCATTTTGGCTCATGCAATCAATTTATAGGCCAGGCTCCAAAGGATCTTAGTATGTCAACATCATTCATGGAATAGGTCCCTATGGGGCCCTCCTGACATTATGGAGCTTGAAGTAGTCCAGGGAGATGGCTAACTTGGAATGTCTTGTGGATCTGTTTGAATCTCCATGAGAGAAGAAAGAAGACACCATAGCCCAGCTGGCATGGCTCAGTGCTTGAGCATTGACCTATGAACCAGGAGATCCTGGTTCACTTCCTGGTCAGGGCGCATGCCTGGGTTTTGGGCTGGATCCCCAGTATAGGGTGTGCAGGAGGCAGCCAATCAATGATTCTCTCTCATCATTGATGTTTCTATCTCTCTCTCCCTCTCCTTTCCCCTCTGAAATCAATAAAATATACATATATATATACATATACATATACATATATATGAAAGAAAGAAGATACTATAGTACAGTCCTAGTCTTCCTAAATAATCTGGCCTTTCCTCCAGTCTAATAAAAAAAGGGCTCCTGATTGTAATGGTCTAAGTACCAAATGAATCTAGTTTGCACAATTTTGTCTCACAGTGATTTTCCCCAGTCTTTTTTTTTTTTTTTTTTACACTATACAAATGAAATCGATGACCAGATTGTAGATATTAAATAACTAGCCCTTTCCATGCCATAAGCATTACTATTTCAAGAAAAACCATTTTAAACATAATAGATTCCCCCCAGTCTTTGCAGCATCCTCCAAGTTGGATGACGGGCGACGGGAAGGAGCACTGCACACCGACTCCCACGTGAGGGTGAGGGGCACGTCCCCAGCTCCGCGTCCTCACCCTCCTCCACGCCCGTGACGATGGAGGCGAAGTTGTCGTCCAGCAGGATCATGTCGGCCGCCTGCTTGGACACGTCGGAGCCCGCGATGCCCATGGCGATGCCGATGTCCGCCTTCTTCAGCGCCGGGGAGTCGTTCACGCCATCGCCCGTCACCGCCACGATGGCGCCCTGGGAGGGGGCACAGAAGGAGCGAAGTAATCACCGTCAGATTCAAGGCCAGTTTCCCCAAACCAGTTTGATTCCATCATCCCTCTCTTCTTGATTGTAATCATGCTTGATGTAGGCCTCTTAGCCCTTCCTTCTCCTGGTCCTCCTCATATATTAAAACTCTTGTCGAAACCGGTTTGGCTCAGTGGATAGAGCATGGGTCTGCGGACTGAAAGGTCCCAGGTTCGATTCTGGTCAAGGGCATGTACCTTGGTTGCGGGCATATCCCCAGAACGGGGTGTGCAAGAGGCAGCTGGTCGATGGCTCTCTCTCATCGATGTTTCTCACTCTCTATCCCTCCCTCTTCTTCTCTGTAAAAAAATCAATAAAATATATTTAAAAAAATATATATTAAAACTTTTTTTGGGGGGGACTTCTCAGGGTGCCCACAAACTGCTGCCCATCTCTGAGATCTCTGAGGTTCAGGATGGGATACTCTGGAGTCTCCTCTGGCCCAGCACGCATTCCTCTGCTCGGTGTGGGCCTGGGGCTGTGTCACTTGATTTCTGCAGATTCATCCCCAGCTCCGCTGCCCCCTTACCAGCCTCTGGCATCCCTCTACAATGATGAGCTTCTGCTGTGGGGAGGTCCGAGCAAACACAATCTCCGTGTGGTTCTGGAGGATGGTGTCAAGCTGTTCCGAGTTCAGATCCTTTAGTTTGTAGCCATGCACCACGATGGCCTTGGCATCCCTAAGCAAAGAGAACTTTATTTTATTTAATTTTAAATTGTATTTTGTTTTTAATCCTCACTGGAGGATATGGGTTTGTGTGATTATTTATTTATTTCTGATTTTAGAGAGAGGGGATGGAGAGAGAAAGAGAGAGAGAGAGAGAGAGAAAGAGAGAGAGAGAGAGAGAGAGAGAGAGAGAGAGAGAGAGAGAAAGAGAGAGAGAGAGAGAGAGAGAGACATCTATGTATGAGAGAAACATGGATTGGTTCCCGTACATGTCCCCACTGGGAATCAAACCCACAGCCTTTCAGTGCTTGGGACGATGCTCCAACCAACTGAGGTACACCGGCCAGGATGCAAAAAGAATTTCCAAAGGTCAGTTCAGTGTGCTGAGAATTCATCAGCTGCCCCATAACCCACTTTCACCATAGCCTCCTTGCTTTTCCTTTCAGCTCGGTCTCCTCACGTGGCCCAGCCATTCACTGATCCCAGGCGGACACGTGCCATCCCCTCCCCCCTTTCCGAACCATATCTCCCTTTCCTCCGTCCCCATCTTTGTTCCACGTCTTTTGAAACCCACGTGGTCACTTTCCTATTACATCCTACTTTGCACTATGTAAGCCCTGCACCTCCAGCCTGCTGCAGGGTCCCTCGGGAGCTTCAGTGCGTGGGACCTGGCTGGGGGCAGGGGCGGGGGAGGGGGGGAAGGACAGGCCGATGATAGAGGAAAACATGGCAGATCTGAGTTCTTTAGGGGTTTCTCACCTGCTATTGACCTCGGAGATAGGGATATTGAGCCGGGCAGCAATGTCCTCTACTGTCTCGTTACCTTCTGAGATGATGCCCACACCCTTGGCAATGGCCTTGGCTGTGATGGGATGATCCCCTGTCACCATAATCACCTGTGTTGGGAAGGGAGCGCAGAGGAGGAGAATCATCTTCCGGGAGGTCCTGGGTCCTTCCCCTTCCTCTCTGAGAGCTCACAGACCGCTGCTTTCAGGAGCTCATTCCCAAGAACTCTTGCTTCAACCCTTGTGGGTGGGCCAGGATCACCAGGTCACAACATGGAAGACCATTTGGGTACTAGGTTTTCCAGGAATAAGTCAGAGATTTAGGTATAATATATTGCTATATTCAGAATTTCATTTAATTGCTTCAGAAGCTATTCTACTTCTTTAAGCTCCAAGACAGAAACCCCTACACATACAACAAATAATAATAAAGGAACCTCTGGAATAACCCATCTGCCGAGCAAAATTCCATCAAGGCCCAGGTGCATTCTGAGCCTCACTCCTTCCTCTTTTTTCCCCAATGCCTCCCTGTGCCCTGTGCCCCAGATTTCAGCCCATTTGGCACAGCTGTTACCAGCCCGAGCCTCCTTCCTTCCCAGAGGTCAGGGGTCCGTGCTCCGTGCTTTGCTAGCATTCTCTGAGTAGGGGGTACCATTGCTTATAACCTCCCCCCCCCTCGCTGGTGAGAGCTCTGTGAGGGGGGGCGGGGCATAGCTATGCTGCCTTATAAATTTCCTGCCTTAGCACACTGCCTAACACGTAGTAACCAGCAACTAACAATGACCAAACCAAGGGATGAAGGAAGGGCTGCTTCTGGCACCAATGCCCATAGTTCCCAGGGACCCAGGCTCAGAGGGAGGAAAGGGACACTATCTGATTGTGACTGAACTATCCAACTGCTTCCGGAACAGAGGTCCTGGAAAAGCCCGTCTGTCTGCTTCCAGAGCAAGGAGGTAAGCCTGCTAGTTCTCCTCTAAGTCCTCCTCCCCCCACACTGGCACCCAGGCTGGCCGGAGAAAGGAGTGTGGCTAAGCTGGGGTGCCAGAGCCGGAGGAAGGTCACGCTACGAGCTGTTACCCACACCGCTGGTTTCAGCATCCTGTCTCTGTGTGGGGACTGGGTCCTCACAGGCTTGGCCTGTGGGGGAGGGATAAGGAGAGGGTCTGGGAGGGGGCTGCACAGAAGATTCCAGATGTGGCTCAGACTGAGCCCTCAGTGATGCCTTCTGGGCTCACAGCGCCCTGCGCTTCCCAGTGGCTCATCAATAGTGACCTGAGGCCTGTAGGCCAGGCGTGGTGTCATCCCGGTACGCCCCTCGCCCCTAGCCCAGATTGACCATTCAAATGGCTGCTCCTGGCAGTACCACCTCTGTGCCAGGCACCCGGAGAGCGAGTTCCGAGGACGCAGTTTCTCAGCGAGTGGACATGCGCGCAGACAATGGAAGCCAGTTCTGCAGAGAATGGCTCCCTGTGAGTAAAGGGCATCTGGCAGTCTCTGGGATTCATCAAGTATTAAAAGAATTTCATGTCTAACTTCTTCCGGCTGATGGTACCTCTGATGTCCCCACGCAGCGCTGCAAGCTGCCCTCTTGTTTCTTTGTTCCCTCCCCTCCCCCTCTCTCCCCCTCTCCTCCAGGCTCCCATGCATCTGAGAGGCGAGCTCCAGGGTTGGCAGCGTTGCTGTGGGCTCTACTGCAGTTCATAGAGAAGGCCAGTTTCACCGCATGGGTAGAGTCGCTCCATGCTCCCGAGAGCCTCAGGTAGTGGCAAATAGATTATACACACACACACTAATAAAAGAGAAACATGCAAATTACTGCCACTCCGCGACGCTACCAGCCAATCAGAGTGTGTATGCAAATTAACCTGAAAACATGGTGGCAGGCCTCCCCCTCCCCCCCACTCCAGGCCTGTGGGGGTTGGAGAAGTCGGGCACCAGTGCCTGAGACTGGCTGCAGCCGGGGAGACGAAGAAGCCACCTGCCCCCTGATCACAGGCTGCAGACAGCAGCAGAGGCCTCATGTTCGCCTGCCCCAGGTCCTGGGGGAGACAGAGAAACCGGGCCCTGAGCCTGAGGCTGGCTGTGGTCCGGGAGATGAAGAAGCTGCCTGCCCTGTGATCCCAGGCCGCAGCCAGCCAGAGAAATCGCCTACACTGCATCCCTGGGAAGACGGAGAAGCCGCCCACCCCACAGTCCTGGGCACCAACACTTGTGGCTGCAGCCCAGGCATAGCCACCTGCTCACCATCCCCTGGGGCTGCAGCCAGCCCGGGCACCTATGGCTGACCAGAGGGAGGGAAGTCCGGATCCTGGGTGCCTGTGGTCAACTGGAGGAGGAAGTCCTGGGGCTTGGATGTAGGGCAGAGGTGGTTAGGGGCAGTTAAGCCTCCAGGGGAGAAATTAGGGACAATCAGGCTGGCAGGCAGAAGTAGTTAGGGGCAATCAAGCAGGCAGGCGAGCAGTTAGGAGCCAGCAGTTCTGAGTTCTGGATTGTGAGAGGGATGTCCGACTGCAGGTTACCCCCTGAGGGGTCCCAGGCTGGAGAGGGTATAGACTGGGCTGAGAGAAACACATCCCACGCACCCCCTGTGCATGAATTTTGTGCATCATGTCACTAGTGTGTGTGTGTGTGTGTGTGTGTGTGTGTGTGTGTTATAAATCACAGTTATTCCAAAGACCCAGGCACACGGCTCTACCTGGGAAATACCAGTTCCACAGTCACTTCTTGTAAAAACGTGCTGCCATGCAGATGTTACCCGACCTCTCCCAGCAGCCCAGTGCTGTCCTTCAGTTCTGCATCGACCCCATTACGGATGGACCCTGAAAGGCTCTTCCCTGTGAGACAGCCCCCCACGTGTCTACTACGTGGGGTCACGGCAAGCTTTTCCCTTCCCTGTAAGGAAAGGGAGGATTCAAAGTTCCACACCGAGGCGTCGGGTCCAGAAGAAGCAAGGAATTACAAGACATGTGAGCCCGAGTGCAGAGCCAGCCGCGGCCCAGCAAGCACAGAGGCCTCTGCCCGCTCTCGTCCAGCCTGGGACGTGTCCTCAGACTTTCCCGGCTTATTCTGCTTCCGGCTGTGAAGTCATTCTGGCTAAAATCACCCCTTAGTCTCCTGTTTGGGCCTCCCCACCCGGGGGCACAATGGTTACTTCTTGTTGCAGAGACCCACGCATTCCCCGATGAGATCACTTTTAGGCACAACCACAGTGTTATTCCTCACCTAGCAGCCCACGTCAATGCTCCGAAATGCAAACGAGGCCCTTCTCCACGTGGCCCCCACCATTGCTATGGCAGCATACGGACCATTGGGGAATATCGGGACAACCTGGTCAGCCTGTGTAAATGTGCTATAATGATGTCGTCTCTGCAAAGAACTCGATCACCCCCAAACATCTGGTAGCAATTAGGGGATTCACTCAACATAATTTTCTACATCCATTCCTTGGCTCCCACTCCTCTGAGGCCAATCATTGAACTTAGCATGGCCCTGGCTGC